TAAGGAATGTTACTGAACAGTTACTAGCGGTTTAGCGCAGTATCTGTTCCCTGAGACAAAATCGACAAAGGACTGACACTGCCTTATACCAACAAATGCACATCGCTTTCTAATTCCAGGTGCAGGGACTTCAAGTTGGAAGCCTGAACTATACCACGGTAGTGCGACCCGGCCATAGCAGGGTCTGTAGCCGCTAAAGGACAGTGCCCAGATAGGGGAGAGGCCACTGCCTGTGGGTCCTCACCCGCGCGCACAATCCCAAGACCACTCAGGCCCAGGGAACAACAACATTGGGGCTTATTTAACAAACAGGGGAAACAAAGAGCGGCTAGCTCACCCCAGAAGTGTCCATGGTGACCAGGAGTCCCAAACAAAAGGCCGCTCCTCCAAGATGGCGCCGTCCCGCCAATGAGGGCCTGGAGCGTGGCAGCCAGAGACAGCAGGCTGGCGACCAACTCACCACAGCTGGACGTGCTCATAGGGGGCCGCTGAGAGGACCCCCACAACAGCCCCAGCCATGAACAGCAGATCTGGAGCAGACAGGAACCGAGGCAGCAGCACCATGAGGCAGTGCCGGATGTTTAACAGTTCTCAGGGGTGACCAGGACACAGAGTGCTGGTCACCCGTCCACCGTGCTGGTCAGCAGTGGCCATTAGTACTGGTCATGACCGGTCATTAGAAGGAGCAGCGGTGTCAGAAACACCATGTTAACAGCTCTTTGTAAGACGATAGCTCACACCAACAACAAACAGCTCTTTGAGACACCAGGCCTAGGGCCTTTGGTGCTCCCTTCGGGCCATGCCAGGCAGGTGGAGACAGGTGCAGTAACGCTAGCTTCTGAGTAGCAATTCGGTTTCTCTATGAGGTTTTTTTTTTTTTGGCTTCTTTTGTCATTCAGAGGTCGGGGACAGAGAGCCTAAGTCTCCAGGGAGTGTGCAGAAATCCCAAGCTGGCTCCTGCCCTGCCTTAGAACCTCTTTCAGCTCCCCTTCCCCCATCTACCAGCCTGATTGGACCAGATTCAGTCCTATGGCTGACTGGGCCATTTACCCATCAGCTCGTAGCTGCACCTGAGGTGTCCATTCCACGATCCAAGCACCATCCACGGGCCTCTCTATGGCCTGCAGCTGCAGGAGCCACAGCCCTGGGGCTGAACCGGTAGGGCCCCAGGGGCTGCATGCTCTGGGGCAGCATGATTAGGGTGACCACTGCCATCCCCATCACTGCTGGCCTCTGCCTGCAGCCTGCGTCCCAATGGGGCTACTTGTGGTGGGCAGTGTGTGCCCACCACCACATGCAGACTCTTGCACTGCCCACAGCAGCCTCTGGGGCTGAGCGCCAGAGCCTCAGGTCGGCGCCGGGGGTGGGGGTGCGGGTGGGGGTGTGTCTCCGGTTCAGTAGAGCTATTTCAACGTAGATATTGACAAATGCTACATATACGTATTTAAGAGACCATGTGCCTAACCTTTACTAATGCAGCCATGGACACAATTTTCTTACTTGACTAAAAACACATCATTTGTACAGGCCTGAAGTTCTATTGTTGTGGATCAGCATGGAACAAGCTAAATTAAATCCAAAATGATTTATGATTTAACAGGCAGAATGTTCATGAGAGAAGAGTTCCAGAATCAGATCTTTAAAGTTGGTCTCAGATGGTGACAGTTATTTTATGTTGTAAAATAAAACATAACATTTCTTAAGCACAAATATTTCTCCTACACGACACATTCACACATTAAGTCAATGAAAGTTTATTCTAGGGTAGTTTTCTGCTGGTACGTTAGTTCATACTAATTTGTAAGATACTGATTTAAAAAAAAATGAAAAAAGACTTCTTGACTGTTATTTTCAGCCAGCTTGTAAAATGAAAACAAATTCCAACAGGGATGTAGGGGAAGAACATTTGATGGAGGGTTTCATGACATTTTAGTAACCAGGGGATATGACAGTAGAGTCAAATTTTCCAGTAGTACTGTATTTAAATGAGCAGAATTGTTTACAGTGTGAAATGCCTGGGAATATGAAAATGTATAGAAAATAGTAGCGTGGATTCCCAAGTACCAACACCCACCTATCTCCCCTCCTCGCTGTCCTTGTTCTGTGTGCGCCTCTCTTCAGAGGTGGCTACCATCCCTAATTTGGTGTTCGTCATTATCCAGCATATCCAGATTTTTACCCTAAATTCTCCATTAAAAGCGCGTTTGTTTTGCATATTGAACAACTGCTGTCGTATCTATCTTGCAGTTAGTTTCTGAAGATTCATTGATGTTGTTATGTGTGCATAGGGTAAGGTAAAAAGTATCAGACTTTTCTGCCCTCCCGCCATTAGGATAGATGAGGGAACCCTGTGGTCCTGAATGCATGCCTGATGGCGGGCACCTGCAGTGGGTACACCTGGGCTGAGAGACTGCGTTTTTAAGGGCGGCATCACGGGCACGCCAGCAGAAGCCAAGAACGAAAGGAAGCCGAGAGAAGAAGAGAAGCAGAGAGAACGCCAGAGAGAGCCCAGATAGAGTGAAGATTTGCTGGGGGCTGGGAGGCCTGCCAGCCTCCTGGCCCCCCAGCACCCCTGGCCCCACAGCACCCCTGCCTGCCATGTGCCTGGTAAATCTAAATAAAAGCCTGCAAAAGCCACCGAGGGCTCTGACTCCTCCTTGACCCGCTCTGCTGGGTCAGAAAACCTGCCCTGTGTCCATTCCTGCCCCTACAGTGTGGCTCTAGACCATTCATTTTAACTTTTTGTAATGTTTTATTGGATGATATTCCATAATCTAGCTTTCTAGTCTTTCTGTTCAGGCTCTTCATCTTGTCTTCAAATTTTTTACTTTTCCAGACAGCACTGCTAGAAACATTCTGGCATGTATGTGTCCTTGAGCACACATGAGTATTTCTCTGCAGTAGATACTTAGCAGTGGAACCGCTAAGCCATGCTGGATTCATTTCAACTTAACATTACCCATTGCTAACCAAAGTACTTTGCCAACTTACTCTCCCAGCAGCGGTGTGTAAGAGTTCTTGCTTCAAGTCCTTCTGACCACTTGGGATTTTTAGAAATATAGGCAGATGTTAAGCTGCTCAGGATTATATGAAAGTGCCTGTTTTGCTTTGAATTGAGGTATTTTGAAACTAGTTGTAAATGTTTAGGTCTAATAGTGTGTCCTCCTGAGGTCAGTAAAGGGAACATTTTGGCTTGTAATATTAGATTCCAAACCAGCCACCATGTTTCCCTTTTAAGTCATTTTTATTTTGGTCAAAAAGTTACAGTTCACTTGGTTGACAATATTTTACTTGTTCTCATTTGATTTCCCGCAGCTTGCCATGTAAAAGAGCACATTCACTATCAAACAGATAAAAACAATTAACTGGGATAACCTTCAGCACAGAGAGTGCTTTTCACAATTCACATTTATTTTTTTTTACTTTCTCTCCTGCTTTCCCCTCTGCTCCATGATGACCCTGTTTCCAATTGGGTGTTTGGGTTATCTTGGTAGTAATCAATTAGTGAGTCTGCCTTGCAAATATTTACATGAACTGTATCTTTGAAATGGTTCACATTTTCTTTGGTTTGGGTTTAAGGGAAATGTTAGCTTAAGGAATACATCTTCACAAAGGACAACTTCATCTACTGCTTTTAATACATATTATTAGTCTATTTGGTAGACCTATGCTGAAACCATCGTGTCAGAATTTAGTATGCTAATCTGTACATGTGAAAATGAGGTGTCAGCAAATACTAGGCAGGCCTTACCCAGTGCAAGGGAAATGTCACACTTAAATATGACATGAACTTGAATACAACACATACATTTCGAACTAAAAAGAAATCACATTTTTAAAAAGCCTGTTGCCACTTGTATTGTTTCCTTTTGAGCAATATAAAAGGTTTGGCTTTTGTCTTTAACAATCGTTTGTCGCTGAGCATTTGCCTCAACTGGGCAGGCCCCATAAGACTATTTGCAAAATGACCTTTCCAAATCAGTGTAGTGGAACGGAATAAAAATGTTTTTTTGACAACTAATTGCTTGATACTTGACTTGTTAAATACTCCAGAGTCCTCTATCTCCATGGAAAGGAGTTTCCTGTATTCTACTACCTACTAAGTGCTTTTCTCAGAGAATGTTTGTTGAGTGAAAAATGTGAAATCCCTAACTTAATTTTTCTCTAAGTGGAACATTTTTCATATTCCCTTACATTTTCAAAAACACTCTCTGAAATTTTCTCTCTTCTGCAGAGAACATTGTAGCCCTGGTATATAAGTGGCTTTAATAGCCACCATATGTTCTATATTGTGAGACTCATATATAACTTGGAAAGCGTCAATAGTAGTATTTATTTTGCGTGCAATATAGGAAGAAAAACTTGAATATACATTTTAATGTTCAAGGAGTTCCTTGGAGGTAGATTAATTTATTAACTAGTTCACTGATGGGTACTTCCTCAAATGAGCTCAAAATAAATTTAAAGGGAGGAGGGAAGAGCATAAGAGAGACTATGGTGACAGTTCATGGGTGATTGGTGGTGGGAATTTTATAGGGGTTACACCTATAAAAATGAACAATGTAATATATATATATTTAAAATTAAAAATAAATAAATGAATAAATTTAAAGGCACCCTGCCCACTCTGTGTTCAGAACAAGTTCTGGCTCCTTAATGAAGTGGAAGAGACCATTAAGTCTGGCAAAGCCAACTGCAAGTCCTTTGCAAAGGCAAACAATGGTGAAGGCTCTAGGTGGTGCCCAGCTTCCTCGGGCACCACTATAGCATGAAGAGACATTTTGGGCAACACATTTTACTCTAGCTCAGGTCCTAACTCTCTATTCCTCCGCCATTCTCTCTCTCAGAGAATCATGAGGCAAAGCTAGATATAAACATTCCCCTCAATACACTTATGGTGCCTTTAGGGTATCACTAATAACTGAGAGGAAAGAAGTGTTCAGTGTACAGTCGATACTATATTAAACTGAAAAAAATATATCAATGAATTCAAGGTTGGATATCTTTAATGTGGAGTTAATGCAAGTACATATACATTGTAAGTATATTTAGAATGTAATTAAAATTTGAAGACTTAAAGGGAAACTGCTACTATGTTTTATAGTAACACATTTATAGCCCAATACAATTAATACAGTGCTGTTACATATACAAATACATATACAAATATAGCATTCATTGTACAGCAATTAAAACATTAAAAGGCCTTAATTGTACGTTTGAATCCAGTGAACTTAATACTGTCTTAACTGATTAAAACCCCTAGTTTAATACTATGAAATTAAAATATTTTCTGCAGAGGGGCATCATTTGTGAAAAATTTTATCTCCTAATTCTTTTTACTGCAGGATCAGCACCCAAAAGAACTGCATTTTAATTTAATTTTGCTATTATTATTTTTGCAGAAGCATTAAGTGAAATATCCAATCTATGGACATTTTAATGAGTGAGTTATAAATCAGCCATCATAAGTCCCAACAATTGGATATTAGAAGATTTATAATTTGCAGGTAACTTTGAATAAAAATACAATAGGTTTGTATACAAATTGTTACATCAAATGATACCACTGGCATGAACTATGATCTTGGCATGATACACGAACCTGCTTAAAACATAAATTATGTATTAGTTATTATTATTTATTATAAAACCAGTCATCAAAACCATGCACCTAATATGCCCACATGATAGTAAAACACAACAGTCCATGAGTCTGAACGCAGCCAATTTCAAACTATTGTCTGCAGTAGTTCAAAATAAAAATACTACAAGCATAAATTCAATACTGTACAACACAGCTGGCCCTGGGCTTTGAACAAGTGATCACACTGTTTGCATATTTAAAAGAAAGGCATCTGGACATGTATTATCAAAGAAAAACACTAGGAAGAAACAAAATCTAACTTAAGAAAACCTTGACAAGAAGAGATTTTTCTAGAAACCCCAAAAGCAAGTGAAGACACTGGGAAGTAGAGTTTTGCTACAGGAACACCGTTGTGCAAATATGAATACTTAACTTAATAGCTGTGACATATGTCTTAACATTTCAATGCACAAACATTTTATAAACCTCAATGCAGCCTAACACATCCAGGATTTTTTTAGCTTTGGCTGGTTTTAGAACCATAAGACAGCTCTGAGAAACCTATAGACCAATCAATGTGCAAAAGAGGTCTTTCAGAACCTATCCCTTTGGTATATTGTCCTCACATAGATAACAGAATTAAATAATAAAATAAACTATCAATTAGCAAAGCGGTTTAAAAAACTGATGATACTCTTTGGATTTTTCTGTTTTGTTCTGAAGCGTTACCCAAAATATTACAAGTAATGTTTTTTAACCTGCAAGTGTTCAAAATAATAGAGTTCCAGTTTTCAGAATTGAATCCTGAATTCAATTCAGATGGAATTGGAATGTATGCCATGGAAAGTCCTCCTTGGAAACAAAACAACAATGCATTTTTCACCTGGCGAGAGCGGAAGGACTGAAGATGACCTTCTGGCAAGAATGACACTCAATGGGAATGACAAAGCCGACCTCGGTCCCGAAGAAACGCTGACTGTCACGGGCAGCATGTGATCACCCTGATTCTTGTGCTGTGACACTTTTAAGACATAAAATCTACCTCACATCTCCATAGGGAATCTTATTTTTAAGTCTATTCCATGCTCCTTTAGTTCAAGGGGAACTTACTTTCCTTGTGTTACTCAGAGCAGCATCTACAAAACAATGAAGAATGATGTTAATACTAATGTGACTTTTAAGGTCAAAAATGTTGTCTGTGTCATGACTCTGAATGCAAGGATTAAAGAGGGCCAGCATAAATTCAAAGGTTGGTTCTTTTAGTATGAAAGTCTTTATTCGGTTATATAGTTATTTATGAATGGCATCTATTTTAGAAATGACATAACTTTAGTGGAAGGCAAAAGAAAACAATTCATATCTCCTACAACCAGATTTCAGGAATATTGTGTGAATTATGCTGTGTACATAGAGATAAAACGAAACATGTTAAGCACATAAATATCAGAGATATCTTCGCATTCTATTTCCCAGATTTCAAGCAAAATACTCCAATTCATATTTTTAAACCTAACTGTTGTTGACAGGCTTATGTAGATAATTGAAATTTCCTAATCCAGTAATTGACATATATTACAGCATATTTATACAATTTTGTTCTATGAAATGTAACATGAGGGCCACTTGATATTATAGCATTCAACCAAAGTCTGCCAGTAAGTGTTAATTTGTAAATTTAACAAAAATCATAAATCCATGTTATTTGAAAGTAATGTCTATTTTAAAAATATCTTAAGTCAGAACTTTCTAGAGTAGAAGGACCAATGGAACCTAGTGCCTTCATCTAGTAGCACACCACATAGAGAATAAATGTTTTAAATACTGATGCACTATCAATTTACTAAACCTCAACTCTCCCAATGACACTGCAAAAAAAGAAAAGGATTTTTTAAAAAGTGAACTGATGATAAAAAATAAAAATGACTAGAAAGGAATGTAATTTTTTTCTAAATAAAGCGCATGTATATTAACAAATGTACATAGCAAGTCCTTTACTGCCTGAAAAGAAACAGGTCCAAAGTAGATTTAAGTTGCTGTTCGACCATGTACTTTTCAAAGGGTGGCAATATGTCCCCAATCTACTGTAACTAGTGAGACCAATGGAACCACTTCAAGTAACAACTGATCAAAAATGTTATTTTACATGTCCTACCTTACAGATAGCCAGGCACTTCCTGTAATTAACTTTGTCCTGAATTAGCTCTGAGGACATCTGGCCTTATATGTCCAATGAGGCTGATGACAATTAGGGAACATCTAGTTTGAATACTCCTAATATTCAACACGAATGCCATTATTGGTGCTTTCATTTTTGAAGCCATTGCATTCCTATTTCATAGCTTTATTGGTTTTTTAAACTGCTCCATAAAAATAATTTATAAAAATGATTTATGAGTCCATTTAAACAGCTCTTTGAACACACATTTTAAAGTGACTCATGTCACTCTGTCTCTCATTAACCATTTAAATAAGCATAAGAAGGAAGAAACCTGGCCATGGTTATTTTCAAATTTACTCCTCAATGTAAAAATCAATTGAGTTAGGGCCTCCCCGGTGGCACAGGGGTTAAAGACAGCGCTATCAAGCTATCGTCAGCCTCTGCAGCACGAGTTTGTTTCCCGGCCAGCCAGGGAACAACCCACATAGCGCAGCAGACCTCTCCTGCCTCACCCGCTGCCCCCCTCAGCAGTGTATTTCAGTCAGTCTGCCTGTCTGTCTCTGCTGAATCCTCTCACCCCCCGCCCCCCGCATCTCAGGCCTGTACCCCAGCTCTTGTATGCATAAGTAAATAAATCTTTAAAAAAAAATTTAAAGTTATACAGTGCCCCATTCAGTGTGTGCCGTGTTTCTTCGTATTTGTCTGATGCTCTTCTTTCCTGTTTACTACTTTTCTGCCTTGTGTGAAAGAAATTGTGAGCTCTTCAAAGTTGTGTTTGCTTTGATTCCAGCTCTTATATTTAGGTCTTTGATGCAATTCAAATTAATTTTTGTGTAGGAGTGAGTGACATATAGGGGTTGTGGGTTATTTCTCTTTTCATATGAATACCCAGTTAAGCCAGAACCTTTTTTTTTTAAAGATTTATTATTTATGCATACAAGAACTGGGGTATAAGCCAGAGGTCTGGGAGGTGAGAGGATCCATCAGAGACAGAGTAGGGAACAGAACAGGCAGGTTGACCAAAGTATACTGTTGAGGGGAGCAGCGGGCGAGTCAGGAGAGGTCTGCTGTGCTATTTGGGTATCTCCCTGTTTGGGGATAGAACTCGCATTGCAGAGGCTGCAGACAGCTTCACATTGCTGTACTCAACCCCTTGTGCCACCAGGGAGGCCCAGGCCAGAACCATTTGCTAAAACAACTTTTCATTCCCATTCGGTTGACTGGGCACTTCAAGTGAACATTATGTTTATGTGGGTCTGTTTGAGTATTTTTCTACACTCACACCAACACCACCCTGTGTTCATTACTCAGGCGTGTAAGACCTCCACATTTTTCCCCAGTGATATTTATTGAGATAATGTTGGTTTACAACACTGCATTTCCAAATATTTGAAATTATTTTGTATTAGATTCTTTGCCTTTTCATATACATTTTAGAATAAGCTTTTTTTTTCCTTTTTTCCCTAAGAAGGCCTGATTACATTTTGATCTTGATTGTATTAACTCTATAGGTTAATTTGTGGACAATAAATTTCTCAACACTGAGATTTTCAAGACCTGTACACAGTACATCTCTCCAACAGATCATTCAAAATCTATCTCAGCAATGATTTATGGTTGTCATTATGAAAGTCTTAAATGTCTGTTGTTAAATTTACTTCCTGTTTTTTAAAGATTTATTGATTTATGCATACAAGAACTGGGGTACGGGCCAGAGATGCGGGTGTGGGGGGTGTGTGTGTGAAAGGGTTCACCAGAGACAGAGTAGGGAACAGAACAGGTAGATTGACTGAAACACACTGCTGAGGGGAGCAGTGGGTGAGCCAGGAGAGGTCTGCTGCGCCATGTGGGTTGCTCCCTGGCCAGGGATCAAACTCGTGCTGCAGAGGCTGCAGATTGCTTCATAGTGCAGTGTCTAACCCCTTGCACCACCAGGGAGGCCCGTGTTGTTATATTTACTTTATATGTCTATATAGGTCTTTATATGTCTATATTTACTTTATATGTCTATATTACTCATGTAAATAATGTTGCTTTTTGAAACTTCATTTTTTTCTTTTGTTGCTAGGATTTAGAATTACGATTTATTTTTGAATAATGACTTGGTATACCATGGCTTTATAAAATTCTCTTATTACTTACAGTAGGGTCTTTTATGTATAGATTCCTAGTGGTTATACATACATACATGTGATCTGCTAAGCATGGCAACGTTACTTGTTTTTTTTTAAATCTCCTTTAAGTTATGGTACCTGCTAGGACTTCCAGTATAATGTTGGATAGAAATGGTGGGAGCAAATATCCTTGGTTCATTTCCAATCTTAGGGGAAAAGCATCTAATATTTCAGCATTAACTGTGGTTGTCAGCTGTGGTTTTCCACAAGTGTACATTGTCAAATAAAGGAAATTCCTTTTATTTCTAGTCTGGAGAGAGTTTTTATCACGAATGAGCATAGAATTTTTGTCAAATGATCTATTGCAATTAGTTCCCCCCTTCATTATGTTAATATGGTGAATGACACCGATTTTAAGTGTGTAATACAAGTATTTAAAGAAAACTATTTCCCTCTCTCTATAGCTGAATCCACAAAGTTTGATAAATTGTAGTCTCATTTTCATCCAATTTGAAATAATTCTAATTTCTCTTATGCTTTCTTCTTTGCCCCATGGTATTTAGATTTGTTACACTTAATATCCAAATATTTAGGGATTACTGACATCTAATATACTACCTTTTGTATGAGTCTAATCTCCAGAAATTGAAACTCATTTTAAGGCTCAGTATATAGTCTAGCTTGATGAAAGTTCCATGTGAGCTTAAAAATAATGGGGTATTCTGTGGCTGTAGGGTGTAGTTTTGAAATAAATGTAAATTAGTTCATATTGTTGGTATACACCAAAATCTTCTGACTACTAATCATCTAAATAATTCCCTAATTTAATAATTATCTAAATAATTCAACAATTAGTGCAGAATACCTTTGAAAGTTGATCCAGATTTAGAGTACCTGAAAAAAAAAGCAGTGGCTCTATTTGCAGAGTTCCCATGTAACCCAATATTTATACTGAACTCTATCATACTTAGATTGCCTTGAATGTTACAAATGAAATTTGAGGGCCTCCCAGGTGGGCCAGTTTGAGCGCTGGGTTGTGAAGCTGCCCGCAGCCTCTGCAGCGCCGGTTTGCTCCCCGGCCACCAGAGGAGGGTCCCTCATGGCGCGCAGACCTCTCCTGCCGCCCGCTGCTCCCCTCAGCAGTGTACTTTATCAGTCTGCCTGTTCTGTTCCCCACTCTGGCTCTGGTGAATTCTCTCACCCTCCCGCGCTTCTGACTGTGCTTGTATAAATAAATAAATCTTAAAAAAAAAGAAAGAAATTTGAAACCAACTAAGTTACTCTGGATCTATTAGAGTCATGTAAACACAATGTACTATTAACCTCAGGTAAATGCAGGTCCTGGTCTAGGAATTCAAGGAAATTTGCACATACTGTAATAACCTTGTTCACAAGCGAGTCTCTCTCTTTCTCTCTCTCTCTCTCTCTCTCTTTGGTGCTGCCTTTTTATAGATAGTTCAGTATGACTTAGGGAAAATTATACAAGAATACTAGTTTGTACACAGAAATCTTATGTTTGCTTGGTTTAACAGAAGGAATTTTAGGTAAGTGTCATTGCTTCATACCTCCTTCACACATTAAATCCTTAGTACAGACACAGGTAGTGTGTATAAGTGTCTGTGCATGTATCCATCTATCATAAGAAAATAACATGCTTTTAGGACAGAGTAAAAATAAAACACACTGGAAAAGTATTCCTGGACAGTAAGGCTGATACCTTAAAAGCGTATCATTGGTTTTTAGTTCTGAAGGATATCCTACAAGACACAACAGCATCATTCAAATGTATCAGCTTTGTACGGAAAAGGTTACTATGCTTTAAAAATCCTTATTCGTAAAGATATAACTATTAAAGACAAAAAGGAAGTCTTAGCTAATAGAATGTGCCTGCAACTTTATTTGTAAATGCAGAGAAGTTTTTACCCTATGCTAATTACATAATTGATGGAGTTTTAAGACTTACAGCTTTTAAGCAAATAGTAGAGAGCCTGTTCATATTATACCTGTAACTTTGGCATTCCAAAACCTATTGCCACTAATTAAAATCTGCAAACTGTTCCCTGGAATCAGACCTTCTTTTCTTCTGTTTAGATTTTTCACCAACCTAAGTAATAAACGAATTAGTAGCCAACAATGGTAATGTAAGTTAATCCAACCAAATATATTGCACTGCAGCTCAAATTTTCACCAATCTGTTGTATATATTCAAAGACCATGATGTGGTGCTTGAGTCCTTTGTGGAACCTATAAAGGACTTGGGTTACTAGCAAAAATGGTTATTATTTTAATGACCCATCAATAAACTTCACCTGTGTCACACTCTTCCACCTTACGGTCAGAGTACCCTGTCAAAGCAGAATTTCAGTTAAAGTTATTGACACAATGAAGAGAGCTATTTCATATAAAACTTCTAAAAGAATTAGGGAAGAATCCTTTAGTACTCATCTAAGCAATATTTTCTTCCTGCTTTGTGGTCTCTATAACTGAACAGTGTACTTGACAGAACCATCTTTGCAGTCAGTGTTCTATGAAGTCACACGCATAAGGGTAGAATGATAACATTCAAAAAAAAGGCCAGTATTTGAACTGGTTAAGAGAAGTGTGGTTATGTTGTCAAGTAATAAAGCATGGTCCCAGGTAGATCAATAGGTATTCACTAAGCATGTGATAAATTAATAAAGGTTGTTTATTAATAAATTAATGAACAACCAAATGTAACGTGACCTGCAGCCATCACACAGCCAGATGTTTCAGCAGCAATGTCTGAGCCAAAATTTAAAGAACAAAAGATTGAGGGAACACTTAGCATCTCATTCTTTCCAAGCACTTTTCATTCACCAAAAGTTAACATTGCATTCAGTGAGCTAAACAGGCATGGCCGAAGCAACAAAAAGGGAATACTGATAAGAAATGGGAAATTTAGGTTTCTTGAGACTATATAACAAAGACACAAGTAAAGCAGAACATTTGATCAGAGAGCCGCAGGCCCAGGTGGAGGCCATGTCAGGCACTGAGAACACACCTAGCATTGGCCCTCAGCATCCTCGTGGAGATACAGAATCTCCATTTTTAATTGGGAGGTCTTCTGAGGCTCTTTTCCTGCAGTCTGCTAGGCTTTGTAAGTGCCTGGAGACAGGAAGGTTGTTTTTGAAAAATTACATTACAAATATGATAACAAAACCCTAACATAACTCCACAATCTGTGACATAAAGAATTCACTCTTTGGTTTCAGTAGTAAATGTGGTAGCTGCAGCAGTTTTGCAAGAACAAACAAACATGGAGCAGTTTGTAATGGAGAAAGAAGCAGAACATGTGTTTATTTAACCTGAAGAATTCACTTTTATTTGCAAAAAGAGAGTTACAGCATGAACTACACAGAAGGTAGCAGAGCACAACTAATTTCAATTACATGAATTATAAGCGTAAACCCAGAAAAAAAAAAACAAGCATGAAAATAATTTTTAAATACTGTTATTTATAAACTGTGCTCATGAAAAATTGGTCTTGGCACTGTGTACAAAAGGCAATGGCCCTGAAAAGAGATTTACTAATGTCTCTTCTTCCCCTTCCCCAAATTGGAAGTTTTCTATAGTTTGCAAAGATCACGAGCACAAAAGCTTTGGGTCCAATAAAAGCACATTAAATCATAATGTGCTTTATTCTGGCCTTATTTTGCAGCTATATTTTTAAATTTGACTCATTAATAAGCAAAATAATCCAAGGCACACTGATTGCATTTGGTTACAAAGTAGCTAGAGAAGAAATATTAATTTCAGTTAAGTCCAAACACATTCTTAGATGAGAATCTTACCAGCACAATATCTTACACATTAAGGACATTATTTTAAAAAGAGTACCATAATTAAATTCTTTTAAAAAATGAAAGAAAAGAAATAGCTATGTGGTGCTGATTCCTTCCATGTCCCAAAGCATTAACCCCACACACTATCTGCATCACATGACTGAGTGTCTTTTTGAGCTACTTGCCATTTCTGCCAGGGTGTCTGTGAGGGGAGCAGCACTCAATACTTCTTAGTTTTTGACGTGATCAAGTGAAGCTAAAAGGACAGCTCATTCCAACCGGTTTTGCTGTGGGGGCTGGGTTTTGTTTTGCTCGTGGATTATAGACTGCATTGTATTAGTCTTGTGTGTGTTCCCCGCAGGGAACTGTTGGGAGAAAAGATGACAATGCATATGTTTCTCTTCTGATGAAATTCCCATCCCTAGTGATGAAAACATTAACCAACTCTGCATCTGTACTTCATTTTCTGAGAGCACAGCTGGAAAGATACTTAATGAAGACTCTCGGTTCTTGACAAATTCTTCATAGATTGTCCAGAGTGGACATTTAAACCCAAACTGACTTTCCCTGATTGTTTGCTCACTTTTGAACAACTGTCCTCTCCTTCCCATCCTCAGATAAAATGGAAGTTCTTGTTATTATTAGTCTAAACCAGTTCTCAAAGTTTGGGAAGCAGACCGATGAGATACTTCCAGGAGTCTGTAAGGTCAAACATATATTAAGACATTATTTACCTTTACACTCTCACCCTCTTACAAGTACACAGTGGAGTCTTCTAGAGGCTATCTGATGTGCGATAGCACGAGCAATCAAATGCAAACAAAGATATGATAATCCAGCTGTCTTTTCCTAAGCCAGATGTTAAAGAGATTTAGAAAAAGATTTAAAAGGCTGCTCTTTGCACAAAATTGGTTGGAAAAAAGCAAATTTTTAATAAACACTTCATATGAAAATACAATTGGGTCATTAATAGTTTTAAATAATGAAGGAATAATTTTCTATTTCTCAGTTTTCATTTATAGTATGGTATATCGCAATAGTTGTGACCTACAAAAACAAGAGTTCGCAATAATTTTTAAGAATGTCAAAGGGTTCCAGCATTAAAAGGTTTGAGCACAGCCATTCTAGACACTGAACTCTGCACAGATGTCTTACCAGCTCTGTGCCTGTTTCCTCCGCTGCCAATTGCAATCATAAAGCCTGCCTGTTATCTCATTAATGTTATGTATATTAAATGTGAAATCATTCTGTCAACATTTGTATGATAAACTACCATACAAACAGGCATTACGGTCATTGTATTATTAGTAGAAAGAATATTCTGCGACTTTTTTTAAAGAAAGCATTCCCAAGTTGATGCTAATGCTACTTTGTGTTATTCATGTCATTATTCCCTTACCCCAGCATTAGAACAGCCAAATTAAATTTGTTCCTCTAAGGGCACTAAGCAGTCCACTACAAAGCATCATTCCCACCCTCCAAGCTGGTGACTGGAAAATTGGAGATTTACCCTAAACAGTCCTAACTCCCCTCTAATAGTCCACCAGGACCCTAACAACATGGTAACCTATTTCTTCTCTAAAACACTTTTACCCTAAAGCAAACGCCTTTAGTCTTAGAGGGTGGCCTTGCTCTAATATGCTGAGATTTGGCAGTATTCGCATGGTTTTTGAAACACCGCTAAAATATACTCCCCAGATGTTATTAACATTTCCAGTGTTGTAACATTTCTTTCCTATATTTTCCAATCTGGGATTTAAATTAGCTTTTAAAGTATATTTGACCCTCCTTCATTCTGTGATTTTATCTCACATGCCAGGATTGCAAATATGGTGGTGTCTAATTCTAAGGGACATAGCCACTCCTCTGTTCATTGCAGCATTATTTATAATAGTCAAGGTATAGAGACAATTCAAGTGTCCAATGACAGATGAGTGGATAAGATGTAGTCTATACACATCATGGCATACAACTCAGCTATAAAAAGGAGATGAGATCTTGCCATTTGTGACAACATGGGTGGAACTGGGGTTATCTGAAGTGAAATAAATCAGAAGAAGACAAAATCAGATGATTTCACTCATATGTAGAATATAAAGAAACCAAACAAATAAACTAACCCAAAACAAACCCTGAAAATCTGACTGTAGAACTGAGGCTATCAGAAGGGAAGAGAGACGGGGAGTCAAGGAGGGAAGAGGCCCAGTGGACTGTGGTGGAGGACTGTGAGGACACACATCTGCAGAGGTGTGATCCTACATGTACATCACACGTATATATGTATCATATACAATGCTGCAAACTGAAGCTACCTCAGTGAAAAAAAAGAAAGAAAAGAAAAAGAAACTACAGTGCTGAAGATAAAACTGGTCAAAATATAGTGACTTAGAAGCTGACTACTTATTCCATCAACTTCAGTAGGAGTTCCACAAAGAGCTTAAACAAGATCTACTTACAGAGAAAAGTGCTTGCTGAATGTTCCTAATGAGACTCGTTTCACATCTGCTGGCCCTGGAGCCATCTAACAACCTAGGGATACTGACAAAAGATTGCCTGTGTGTCTCACGAGTGTTTATTTTTCTATCTTTACATGACATTACTAACCATTAGGGGCCTTTCTTCTTCTTCATTGTCATCACAAGGAGAGCAGAAATAGTTTCTGGACCACTCTTCAGGCTCATCAGGGATTTCGGAACGTGGTAACATCTCAGTCCAAACTATAAGAAAACACGGCAGGTGGCAGTTACTTAATGATGCTGGTGTACCAGAAGGAGAGAAGTGAAATGAACTGTGATGATCAAGGCTGTAACCTTCCATGCTCCAGGAACAGGCTATTGCTATAATAAAGCCTAGGATGATGCTGTAGTATTGTAAAATTCCTGGCATTTCAGAAAAGGCATGGAATGTCATAGACTTCTTTTACTTTTTAAGATGGTTTCAAGTTTGGGTTGGTGGAAGAGTTATTACAAATAATGGTAAGTCAAATGACATTCCCGAGATATTTTCTATATGATTTACAGAAAATCATCTCTTCCAAAAATTCTTTCTATAGCATATCTACTGGCCCCATTCAAGTAGCCCCTATTACATTCTACCTGGCAATATTTTATTCTTTTCTGTCTTGTCCAGGAATTTATTTTGATTATTTGAATTTGGATTCTCATATAAAACTGTTCTGAGCATTTCTACAAGAATTCTTTTTTCTTTTTTCATGGGAATAACAGTGCATTATAACATTATATACATTTCAGGTGTTCATTGCTGAGAACCAATATGCACATAAACTACAGGAACAAGTCCAATCTATTCTCTTTTTTTCCAATTTATTCTTCACCACATTACCATTCCCATTTCCCTGATGGACCCATCCCTTCCCCCAATATATTTTTGACATGTCTTTGACTTGGCAGAGAACATAGGCTGTACATTGTATGGGTGTGTACGAGGTGCGTAATTAATAAAGAATTCATTACACAGAATTCATATGGATTAAGCAATCTAATGCAGGCAGAGAATGAAGAGAATTCCATTGTGCTTAATTGATAAAATACACAGAATTCATTTGGATTAACCAATCCAATGCAGGCAGAGAATGAGGAGAATTTCATCTTGGTCACACTATACGACTTATGTAAACTTGGAAAAATCATCAACTTTCTCTGACTTGGTTTCCTCCTCTGTCAAATGAAGGCACAGGTGCTTGAGAGCTCAACACACTGAGCAAAGTAAGCTATAAATGGATTAACTGAAAGTTAAGCACATTTGCCATTATTTGTTTCTCCTGAACTGACAGGGAACTCTTCAAGCCTAAGGACCAACATATGTAAATTTTGAGTATCAGGCACTCTGGAAAGTCTTTGCTGTTCACCCCAAAGTTGTTGGAGTGACTCTGGCAGGTGCTTCTATACAACCTTGTATGTCCCTGTTATCACACTCATCATATGCCATTTGAATTGCTGGTTGAATTCCTTCCCTATCCTGTTAGCTTGGCGAGGCAGCTTTGAGTATCTTCATGAGACTGCCCAATATTTGCACCATTCCTGGCACACAATATTTGCTAAATCAATCAAATTGGTCGAAATCAGTTAAAATGACACAATTTACATAAGAAAAATAAATATTCTGGCTGGCAATGGCTCGTCTCCATCTGTTAAACCAATAGCGGGTAGGGTGTGCATTCCTTCAAGTCAATGTATGTTTTATTCATCTCTTACCTTCTATGGCAGGGGTTGCAAAATCTGAGCATACACTGGAAAGAATCATGTGGGAGAAACTGTTCAATTGCAGGTGTCTGTCTGTCCCTGACTTGTGATTTTGAATGTCAGGGGTGGAACCAGAGACGGTGCCCTCCTGACCAGTTCCCACGTGATACAGATGCTACTGGTCCAGGGGACCACACTTTGAGAACCATTGCTCCGCAGTGCCCACCAGAACATCTTGCACATGTAATACGTAAGAGTCTTATAACTTTGGGTTAACTTTATTTTCTTTATACAAAGAAAAGACAGGTAGGCTTTCCAAATTAACCTTAATAGAAAAAAAAATTGCACAGCCCTGAATGCCAGCTGCTGGCCATGACCATACCTGCGGGCCCTTCTGCCGGAAGTGAGGAGAAAGCCGCACCAACCTCCGCCATGGCATTGCTGGGCTCCGATTCAGTTTCCTCAGAGTTTATAAAAGCTCCTTGTTGCTTTCTGATGGAGTAAATACGTAAAAATGAGCTTTTGTACTATCTAAGAATGTTAAGAAATTAAAAACAGTACTACTTAGCCAAAGATAACAAACTATCAAAACATGACAAAAATAACTTAGATTCTGTTAAAACAATAGTAGTTACCAGAGGGGGGTGGGAGGGACAGAAAGGGGAGGGCAGAGGGTGGGGGATTGGCATTGGAGCCTGGGTGGAGGGTGAGCGAGGCATGTGCACCTGTGGAGGAGTGAAGTCGTGCTCCTCGAATTATATAGTTATGCAAACACTTGCCAAATCCATAGAATTTGAAAAAGAGAAAATGTCTACAGTAGTTAAACCAGAAAAGCAGTATTTCCTCCACTAATAGCGTATGTTAAGGACATGCTCTGAGGATCCATTCAAATATAGCTGACCTCCCCTCACCTAAGTCTGTGCAGTAATAGTTCAGGAAAGCTCAAATCCTCGAGTCCCAGCCAGAAGGGCCTCTTTTTAACAAGCAAGGAAAAAACCTTCTCTTTTGCACCCAAAGTAGGTCTATTCTTTAAAACTCCTTCTTGTATATTGTGTGGTATACTTGAAATTTACTAAGAGGTGTACCTTAAGTGTTCTCAACACACACACACACACACATACACACACACAGAGAGAGAGAGAGAGAGAGAGAGAGAGAGAGAGAGGGATGACTGTGAGGTAATGGATATGTGATTTCACTTGATCGTGCTGAATATTTCATAAAGTGTACATGTATCAAATCAAGTTGTATTCTTTAAATATATATGATTTTAACTGTCAACCATAACTCAGTAACACTGGGGGATAAAATAGAAACAACAAAATCCCCGTTGTCTCTGAACTTTTAGGAACTGAGACTTAGGTAAGTCGCATGTAAGTGATGATGAGATCTTAATCTGATGAACACTGCAGAGCTGTGCCAGCTGCTGTAAAGACAATTACTGCGTGAAATCTGAATTTCTGTGCTGGGGCTTTGGAACCAGTGTGGAAATTCTTTCTACGTACATGTTTAATATTCTTCAGGAATTCTACCTTTCAGGATTCCTAGAGACAGAATACAAGAACTACATTTCTAAAGCAGCAGCAGAGCTATCATTAAGGACCACTACCTTCCTCAAAGACTTCTCGGTTGTCTCCAGACATAGTTCCCTGCCAGGATCCATGACTTTTCTCTAACTACATAGAAGGAAAGACCAAGTCACCAGCAAGTGGTCTCCAGATGTGGCTGCTGATCCTTCACCTTTCTTGCAACTTTCCATCTCCAACCAGATCAAAGAAGACCAAAAATACTTTGAAGAGAAAGGCGTGAGCGCAGCCACTTTTACTTATCCTACATGCAACGCATCCCCACATAACCTTAAAACAAAGTCTTTAAAATTATGTTTAAATATTAGCTCAAGGTATCGTATTATTTTTAACATTGAGAAACCAATGTCATAACTATTAAGGACTCTCAGGCTTCAAGAGTAAGGCCAGAACTGAGAAAATGGTCTGTTTATATGATGAGTTTATTGCTAAAAGGACAGATCATTTTTATGTGAGATGCTTTAATAATGTTACTTCATGTTACATGCAGAAAACTAAAGGCTGTAGGAGTGATATTTCTTAAAGAATAATCACTTACTCATCATTCTGTTGACAGGAAAATGGATCCTGTTCTGTTAACTGGTTATTTTGTGCTTGCTTTTGAACTGTGAAATAAAAGAAAGCTTCTGTAAGCAGCATTCAGAAGCCACATTTTTACTTCCGTGAAGACCCGTAAAACACAAACACACACACACACACACACCCCACATTCCCATTTCAGATTAACCCTCACACATTTGAAATAACCAGCAGGAAGTCAGCCTGAATTTGAACAATGGAAAAGGATGAAACCATGTAATATTTTATTCAAGAAATTCAAATTTATGACCACAACCACACCCTCCAACATTACCAAGCACAGATTCCTCGAGGTCCTGGGCAGAGTTGCCTCACGGGAAGGACTAAGAATTCACACAGTCCCTTTGGTCTATTATGTCATAACTGCTTCTGCAAGCAGTGGAGTTCATGTATAAAGTGGAGCTCTAGCATAAAGTTCATTCTCCAAAACAGCTTAAACAACCTCCTGAATTTTGATCTCCAGTTAACTGGTTTAACAAACTCTTTTATTACATATAGGATCTTAAAGTAAGTATCCAGACCCAGTGACTGTAAAAATTATCAGCAAATCTGTGTCAATGTGCTCACTTCTTGTCCCGAAACCTGTGTGCTGGAGTTTACCTGTCATAAGTTCCTGTTGCTTCAACAGAATAGTTCGTATTTCTTTTAACCATGTCATCTTCACATCTACACTTGGAGCCTAGAGATTTAAAGGGGGTGGGGGAGAGGACATGTTTCCCTTTAAGAAGGATGTATTATAATAAAACAATTGTAATGGAGTATGTCAAACATGATCTTCACCCTGAACCATTCTAACATTTTGATTCTTTAAACTTTTACAAAGCAAAAGACATCAGACTGGATGAAATAAGAGTCAAAACCATTTTGCAATTGCCCTTAAAGGATAATGCTCAGAGAAAATGTGAATATAATCTCACTTATTTATTCTTTGTTTATGTTTAATATTAATAAAATAAAACCATTTGTACTGTTTCTGAAAAGACAATCTATTGCTTGTGGAGTAATCTTGATAACTGACAGCATGAGAGCTTCCGTCAGTATTCTCCCATTAATTGCACGGTAAGTCTACTAAAATATAGCAAGAAATCTCATGTGTAGATCAAACTATGAAAATGTATTTTTATGAACTGTAATGACATATCAAATTAAAGAAAAAAATCTCTAAGCTCTTTCCACAGCTAACAGCACAAGCCATGATACAAACACTGAATTGATAATACCCTCTTAGGATCTCATACGCGGAATATGGAGAAAAACAAACAAAGGAACTGACAGAACTAAACCAAATCAACCCTAGAGATCTGACTGCAGAATTGAGACTACAAGAGAGGGGAGGGGAAGAGAAGGGAGGAGAGAGAGCCCAAGAGACTGTTGGGAGGACTATAGGTGCCTTGGTGGTAGGCGCGGTGTGGCGTGGAAACATACTTCTGAAGGGGTGTGAACCTCTAAATCATATACAGTGTTGTAAACCAATGCTACCGCAGTAAAAAAACAATACATATTTTTTTAAAAAATGACATCTTCTCGAAATGTCCTTACTCTCTCCCCCCCCCCCCCCGCCGCTCTTGAAGGCTGGACCCTACCACACCTCTGCCCAGGGTCTTAAGCATGTTCTCTAGAAAAAAACGATCAAATCTGAATGGTCACGTACATCCCTGTGGATCCTAGTCAGGTATCTTCTGAACACCAATTGCAAGAGGAATTCAGAACTGTTACAAATCTGTAACTCCTGGGATTTCATGGGGTCAGAGAAACACTTGCTGAGCCCGAGGCCACCAACTGTAACTAGTAAGAATCCTAGAGTAGTTGTGAAAAGTTAAAGCCCCACAAAGCACCACAGGCATATCTCAAGTTAAAGAAAACATGTGCTTCTGAAAAACTGTTTTAACTATATCACAAAGAACTGTAATGATATACCACCTAAGTGACTTAAATAAATTGAGTAAAAACTTCTGCAATATACCTAAGATTATTTTTGTTTGCAAAAATAGATAAATACATATCCACCAATGCACTGGCTTCTCTAGAAATAAATTCAGATTTTTGTATCTCGATACAGGTTATGACTTCTAGAATAATTTTGAAATCACCAACCTGGACAATATAAACTTCTTCCTTCTCACCACACCAGATTTCAAATTTGCGGGTATCTCCTTTTACATGGTCAGTGATTCCAACTTCATCCATCTACAATTAAGTCAAAATTTTCATGAGCATTTTATTTTGAATGGGGAGTTATATTAAACCTACCCCCATTATATTCTCAACGAAAGAGAATTTCTCACTTGGGCAAAATACACATTTTATATTCAAAGACATGTAATGATAAAGACATTCATGGATCAGAGTATTTAAAGGTTTTCATTAAACTATGCACTTATAGTTCAGATTGCATGCTCCATTTCAGTGATCAAAACAAATGTTGTCACTGTGAAGATCCAGAGTTCACGTAAGAATGAATTCTGTTATAAATTAACTGTACACCATTAAAACAAATTACCATGTCAAAAACAGAAGCAAAAATAATTAAATAGCAGTAAAAAAGGTCATCCAAACTGAATTTCAATGGCAATTTTTAATAATCATTTGCCAGATAAGTTAATCCTACCAAGCTTATTTATCTCAATACAAATTCTACAACTTATAAACATCCAATTTATGGGTCAGGAGAGCACCCATCAGGTATATGAGGCTCTCCTCCATTGCTACTCATCTCTTGGTCTCTCCAGGAAACACATGCTGTCATGGAAGAGTGAGGTCTTCTTGTAGCTGGGGTGAGGTTCATCAGCAATATTTCTGCCCTACCAGTTCTTCTCCATATGACTGCACAAAGCACAAATTCTATTTTCTTGCTTCCTGTGCTGCTAACAGCTTAATTAATTCCATTTTGAACAATTTCACTGCCTTGTACACACATACTCTGTTCCTCTCCTCCTGTCTTCTTTTTTCTTTCAATTCCTCCCTAATTACCTAAAGGAATAACTCATTTTCTGTTCCATTTATGAGCCCCCCAAATGACCCTAATTAGCACTGAGAAGCATTAAAAGTAGTGCTAGTGAGATCCCCATACCAAGGAAAAGGGATTAAGTAGAGAAATGAAAGATGACATATTAATGAAAGTGCCTGTGACATCTACCATGAATATAGTCAGAAGTTACTTTCAGAATATCCAAAAATATCCTTATATTCCTACGCAGCTACTCTATCTACCTAACCTACTTTTGCTCAAAAACATGATTTAAAATGAATAATCATCTCATACAGCTCTGAATAGCATAGGATGGAAAGCATATTGTCTTTGGCATCTAAAGATTGGACTGCAATTCCGTCTTACCACTTACTAGCTGTGTGTCTTGGTGCAAGTTGCTTAATATTTCTGGACTTCAGTTTCCTCAACTTTAAAATGAGAACACCTCTTTCACAGAGTTGGCATAGGGTTAAATGACATGCATTAAATGCTTGGATCACATACTGAGCTTTTTAAAATATGATTTTTCGTTCCAAGCTCTCCCTTATTTGAATTGTAATAGTTCTGCTGTTTTTTATCACATACATACAGCACAGTGATATAGGTTAAATGAGCTTTTTGTTTTCCATTCCAAACAACTCACTTACCAATGATGCACGGAAAGTAATCCATCTGTGATTTGTGGATTGTGTATATATTTCCTCAAGTAATAAAATATGATGGTATTATTGAGCTTCTCTTCCTCTACTTATTATGTGTTGCCCATATCATGGAAACTTAGTTCTACAATCTAGAGGCAGAGTGACAAGTCCAACTCTGAGTATAGTCATATAATATACTGTATACAGTGAGATGGTGCCTCATCCTTCACATTTTCATTGATGATCCTGGTAACTATGATATACGTACTTTACTCTAAAGCATTTTATCTGAAATCATCTCACTGTGTCAAGTATACAGAGCCCCAAGTTTTGGCCTAGTGTCATGTTAGCAGGTTAAGTGTGAAGACACCCACTAGGTTGTTAAAAGCTCTCCTGTGGGTCAAGAACTCTGGGATAGAGTTAACTTAATTCTTGGGTTAGTATTAATAAAAATCTGATCTTGGAGCACAATTACAAAAAATGTAGCTAGGCTGAAGTGCTATGAAACAATTAGGAGCAAGACACCGGGTATAAAAGAGTGACATGGCTGTTATCTTGAAAAGAGTTTCTGAGACAAAAAAAAAAGACAGAAGGAAAATGATAATTATAACAAGATACAATTTATGTAAATTAAAACTATCTGTGCACAGATTAGGATACATTTAAGAAGAACGCACGAACTGAAGGATATATGTCAAATAAATGAGAATGGTTGCTCCAGGGGTACAGAGGAGATTAAGTGTGGAGAATGGGGATAAAAAGGAATGGATGAAAGGAGTGAACATGAACAAAGCCTTCCAGCATGTGAGGTGATTAAGAGCATGGATCCTGCAACCATCTGCCTGGGTTTGAATCTGCATGGCAACACTTATTAGCTATGTGCTCAGACAAATGACTTAACCTTCTGGAACTTGGGTTTCTTACCTTCCAAATGGAGTTAATAACAGTTTCTTCATTATATATGTGAAGTTGCTATGTGAATTAAATGAGTTAACACTGGTATGTAGAAACAGAACAGTTCCTAACACATACTATGCACTATGTGTGTTTGTTACATTTAATTTTAAAAAGAGACAGTAACATTTGCGTGAATCAAGAAATTTGAAGGACTCTAATCTCTCCACCTGATTATTACTTTAGGGCCCTTCCTTCTCAGAGAAGCAGCCGCTTAAAATGTAGCACACCATCATTAGAAAGACATTGTTGGGTCATGGAATTCCAACTTGGTATCATGAGGTAAAGGTAAGGGCTCTTTGAAAGTGAAGGAGAATTTGCTAACAGTAGACAGCATCTGCATCTATTCTCTGCCAAGGGGGAGACTTTGAAACCAGACACCCAACCTGTTCCATCACAGACTGACTAGCAACGCTAGCTATTATTTAATCCTGGAAGGTCAGGATAGGTAAGCAAGAAGTAAGCAAGCTTAACTTCCTACTTTCTCTGTTAGTGACATCACCTTTTTCCTAGTAATTCTGGTCTTAATCCTTGCAGTCATCACTCACAAAGTTCTTCTATTAAGAGTACTGCTGAGGCATTATTGGGGAGCCAGTGAAACATCAGAGTGATTTTTTTCCCCTCCGAATGTCAGGTATTATCTATTTACTGTAACTTGTAAGTCAACAAGCCTGTCTACCTTCCTTTGAAATGTTTCTTACCTCCACCCCACCCTCGGTCTGTGGTAACCTTTGTGGCCTGAATTTTTATGACTTCATTACATGCTCCCAGTGCTTCCTTCCTCCACTACACTGTACAACACTTCTGTGGGTATGCCCATCAGCACCACACATTAAAGTTAAAAGAGAAAATACATACAAATCAGAAATACTACATTCAGTAATAACTAGATCACCCCACAAAGAAAAACTGAACCAAATGGATTTGGGTCAAATATGCCCATTTAGGTAAAATGCCTTCTCAAGGAGCAGGTTCACAAACACAGCAAGACACCTGAGCCCTGTCTGCCATGAATTACAAGTTCCTGGTTCTCAACCCATGTTGATTAGAGACATAAAAGACCCTGCAGATTTGGGGGGCTGGGGGTAAGCTGCTACTAATAAAGGAGAAGCTGGACATTTGTTTTGAAAACTATCAGCTTTAAAGCAGTTGTAACACTGCTGTGGGTTTACAGATGAAGCAGGGAAAGCAGACAGTAGGAGGAGCCCAGGCCTAACCCTGGGCAGGCACCCCATCAGGAACAGCTTGAGGTTGCTGACCTCATGGGGAAAATCCAGAACGGGGCCTGCTTATCTGATGGCCTCCTGATACAAGCACCCCAGCCTTATCTCAGGACACACTGCCTGTGTGCTTTATCACTGCTGCTGAACAGTCCATCAGTTCTCACACATATTGGTGCTGACAACTGTGAAAGAACATCCTCGTGAAAAATGACTTAAATATGGGGCCTCCCTGGTGGCACAGGTGGTTGAGCGCCGCACTGTGAAGCTGTCCGCAGCCTCTGCAGTGCAGGTTCGATCCCAGCAGGCCAGCGAGAATCCCACATGGCAAAGCAGTTCTCTCCTGTCTCACCCGCTGCTCCCCTCAGCAGTGTATTTCATCAGTCTGCCTGTTCTGTTCCCCACTCTGTCTCTGGTGAATCCTCTCACCTTCCTGCACATCTGGCCTGTACCCCGGTTCTTGAATAAAAATAAATAAATCTTTAAAAAAAATGACTGAAATAATAGTGGTTGGGGAATCGAGCATAATCATGTTCTCTACTTCCAAATATTCTGTAGCAAGTGCTCCATTGCTTCTAAATCTAAATCTTCAATGATAAAATTAATTAGGTGTAAACATAATCAAATTTGTTAAGGACAAACTCGTGTGAATTCAAAGTTCCTGTGAAATGTCCACCCCAGCCTGGAATATTATTGGGTTGTCAGTGACTTCCTCAAACAAGACTGCTCTCATTTTAATACCAAACTAATAATGGGACAGAATGGCACTCTGGGATATAAAAGAAATTCATGTCAAAGGCTAGAACAGGCCAGGTGCAGATGGGATCCAGCTGCAGGTGGCTCTGGACACCAGCAAGGGAGGAGCTAGGGGATGGAGGAGGGCTATGCTCAGCACAAGTGACCCCTGTTTAAACTGCACTGAGGAGAAGGAAGAGACTCCTCTTTGTCGCTCCTGCATGGGAAAGGCTCCTTGTTACCAAGACCAAAAACTCCACCCAGTACGGTTGGTCAGTGTCAATGGGGAAATCCAGGTCACTGGTCATAATTTCAAACTGCGCTTTGCAGGATTCCCCTGAGTTTATTAGAGACATAAAAGACCCTTGCAGATTTGGGGGGCTGGGGGATAAGCTGCTACTATCAAAGGAGCAGCTGGGCTGGGGCCACTGGGAGGGAGGCTAGCACCCCATTGTTCCCAGATCCCCCCTCTCAAGCAGCCAAGTCCTGCTTTTCCACCCTTCTTCGCATCTGAATAACACCTCCTACTTAAGATGTCGTGTAAACAAAGGGATGTACACAAAAGCCAGTCATTTTAAATGAAGAGACATACGAATTTGAATATATAGATATATACACAAATTAGATAATATCACAACATCACACAATTCAAATCGTCTTACTTTCATACAGTTCTTGAAACTGTACGATGGGTATCTGTCGGACCCTTCTCCGCTCTCCACTCTCCTTTTACAAAAAATAATGGCTTTTTCATATAAGAAAAGGTGTCGCTGCATTGGTTTGAATCTAGCAAAATCCTTCATTTTTGTAGCACCTTTCTTATGTCCAATCCAAACACTGAATGCACTTTGCATTATCATCTTGCCCAGCTCATTTAAATTTCCCTAGAATGGAAAAGAAAAACTCATTACTCTAAGGCCTAGCTACCTTCAGGCATCTGCCATCAACATTACAGTGTTCAGCTTGAGCTACTAAGACACCAAAGCATAGTTCACTCCTTTTTAAAACAAATTATTCACCCTCATTTTTCACAGAGACACATACCATGTGTCACCTATGTAGGAAATCACTGAGGGAGTGGGAGATATAAGAAACCTTCCTTTTCCCTGGCTTCATGTGTCCATATGGTGGTATCTCAGGTAGGGTAACTCTCCCCGTTTCTTCCTCGATCCTGATTGGTGAATGAGAGCTACCACTCCAAGTTTGCCCACTGGGTGGTGCTAACTCTAAAGAGTTGACCTTTTTCTTCCACATCTCTCCATGCACACAGGCAAGCAGCAAATCTGAAACAATGCGTCTCCTTAGACCTAAGCATTTCTTCAAGCATGAGCTGGAGCTGGGGGATAGGCTGCTGGGGACAAGGGGAATGTTGCAAATCCATTTGACTGTTGATCTGGAGCCAAGTCTCCACTTAGCATTATCAGTAATAATGCTGATGTATGGATCTCCATTTGTCTGCCTCTTACCTCTTACTTCTCTACCTCTTACTTCTCGATTGGTTCCAAGAGAGGAAGAAAGAAACGTTAACATGCTTACCCCTAAAACTCCAACAATCTTTAAAATCTACTTACAATGTAGCCATTTATTGCAATCTGATGCATCGAGTCGTTAACTGACTTCAGTAAATCCAGCATTGTGTCAAGGGCCTCCTTTAATTGATCAAATCCTTCACAGTCCTTGCTATATTTTAATAGCTCCTGTAATTAGAAATCAGGGATTAAACTTAATATTAGACAGTTATTAATAGCTGGAGAAAATGAATACATTTTGGGTTAACATGCTTTCAAGGAGGAATGGCAAGATAATGTCACTTTTGAGTAATTTCTTTCATATGCTATTTGTCACATTAATGCCATATTTAATAACAATGTCAAAATTGGGGGAGAAAAGGAATAGGGATTAAACAGTATAAAGCAAAGGGTATTCAATGCTTTTGGAGCTGACAAACAATAGCCATTAGCACACGCTAATGATTAATTTTTAAAGCAATTACATATTTTTGGGTCCTCTACATATACTACTTTGTTTCACTTATGATGCAGGTACCCTAGAACATATGAAAATGTATTTCAAAGTAAGCGACGCTGTGTTTATACTTAACACATTTTAGCAAGCCTTCCCACTGCATGACCAATGTGCCATCTTAATTTTTCATTGAGAAGGCTCTCAGAAAATACAGTCTCAAAACTATGTGAAATATTGGTGTAGTTCTTCTTAGCAATAGTAAATGTTCTGCAGTAAACACATACATGGATTGAATTTGCATGGATAATTGAATAGCTAAGAAGACATCAGATATTCTCAGCTTCACATCTCTGCCTCTAGCACTTCCATTCACAGAGGCTACCTATTCTTCTTAATGGCTTTGCCACATCTGACCCTGAGAAGTCAAGAAAGAGACAAATGCTTTGTGTAATTACCTTCAACAGTAACTGATATTTAGTAATTCGTTGCACTGGTTTCAGTAAATAGGAATCCAGACCAAGCCTGTGTTGTAATTTCCTTTGACATTCCTGTTGTTAAAATATAATTATCAATACATTTAAATAAAGACATATACCTGTGAAAATGCCAAGTGCCCACTGATTAGACCCACTGCATGCATGTTTCTTACACCGTGAGGAAGATTTAGCACAAAAGTTGTTCCTACGTATGGTATGGTAATGATAAGAGGCAGTATAGCTGAAAAACGCCAGTAAACATTAATTCAAGGATTTGAGAGGTAGAAAACATCAACATTTCAGTGATAAGAAAGTTGTACATATAAATTCGCATTGAAAGCAGTGAGTGACCAGCTAGGGATGTGAGGAAAAAGTTCTCCAATATGTACAAGGAACTCATCAAAAGGCTCAGCTCTACAGGCCAAGGTCCAGAACAGAAACAGGCTGTGCTGAATATAAATCAGACTGGGTATGAGAAGAGTTTTTTTTTAACATCACAAAAAAAATACAACCCTCGTCATCTGGTGCTATATTTCATCTAATTGTTGGCTCACTGCCACTATAAATATAAAGATCATGACTTTGGGTCCTGGGAACATTGTAGGGTCCATAATTAGGGCAAGATAGGGCTGCTTAGGATGAAATATACATATAGGAAGGGTGGAATACAAACAGAGTGGGAGAGGATATACCTGTTTAAAATTCAGGACCATATGCTGGATATGGATAAAATATAACATGCAATCTAATTCAAATAATTAGATGGTAGACTGAAAGCAAAGATGGAGGACTGGATATGCACTTAACTCTCTTCATTCATGAAACCCAACTAAATTGATAGAGATGTAATTTTTTATAAAGCAAATACCAAAGTAACTAAGATAAAAAAGGAGAAAACATCCAAAGTTGGAAGTTGAAAATCAAACTGGTAAGTAGGAAACAACTGGGCACATTAAAAGAAAGTGAATCTCAAGCAGGCTGAGGGAAAAGGCAGAGGACAATTCAGTTTATGTACTAGAACACCTTCCACCTGCCCTCCATAGAGAGTCCAAAATTACAGATACCAAGTACCTCTGAAAGTGAGGGATGAGGGTGAAGTTCAAAAAAGAATGGTTGCTGAGGAAGCAGAACAATTATGACCCTCCTAGACTTCTGGTAGGAACATAAAATGCTGCAGCAACTTTGGCAAATAATCCAACAGTTCTTCAGAAAGTTAAATAGGGAACTGCCTGATGACCCAGAAATTTCATACCCAGGTACAGGGTCAAGAGGAATGAAAATAAATGTTCACAAAAAAAATTGCACACAAAAGGTGAAAACAACCCAATGTCCATCAACTGATGAACAAGTAAAAGCAAGTAAGTAAAATGTGGTCTATCTATCCAATAGAGTATTACTTGGCCACAAAATAGAATCAAGAACGAATACATCCTATGGGTGGATCTCAAAAAATCATTATGTTAAGTGAAAGAAGTCAACATTAAAAGACCACACAGTTATAGTTCCATTTATATGCAATGTCCAGAATTTGCCAATCTATCTTTCCATATATATAAGGGATTAGAGGAAAATGTGGAGTGATGACTAAAAGTATGGGGTTTTGGGAGGAGTGATGAAAATATTCTTAAACTGATTGTGGTGATGAGTACACAATGTTGTGAATACAGTAAAATCATTTAATTGTACATTTTAAAAGGGTGAATTCTATGGTATTTTAATTATATCTCAATAAAGCTACTAGCCCGCAAAATTTAGTAAGCATAAATATATATATATTTTTTTTTTAAAAGGCGGGGGGAGTGATGTCTCTCAGCTATACCACCATTTGAAACTGGGTGGAAGTCTCCCATCTCTGTAACAAGAGAATGGCTCCTTATCTGAAAAAAGTTAATGTAGAAGGCCTTTGGACTAGGCCCAGAGGAGGGTAGAGAACCATTAGAAACAAAGAGACTACTTGAATATTTACAAACCAGATTAGAGTGTACACTTGCCCCCTACATGCTACCAGAATACTGGCAGCCAAATTTTTACTCACCAGCTTGCAGATTGGGGAATCTGACCAGCCTGAAAGAGCGGACCTAAATATATAGGTATTGGGGATCCCCCTCCACAAGGAAACAGCTTGAGACAAATCACCTCACAATGAAGACCATAGTCAGTAAACCCATATATGCTCAGGAAAATTCTGAGAGTTTGTTAGTGCTGACTCCTAAAGTAAGTGGACAAACAAGTATCACCAGACATTTGAGAAAAGTATTATGAGTGACAGTAACAAAGTGAACAAAAAGAAAAAAAAACTATCTGAACTATGGAGGAAGAGAAAACTTTTTTTAAAATCAAAATCTATTGCTATTATCCTTCATATAGATAAATGAAGGTATTGAATTCATGAAAGAAAGACAAGTATCTATTGAAAGGAGGAGTGAGAGAAAAGTAGAGGCTCTTCAAAATTAAAAACTTAATGGCAGAAACAGAATCCTCCACAGAAAGATACAATAGAAGACAAATTCCAGAAAATCAAGCAACAGATACTGAAAACACAGAAAGAAAAGATAATTTGAGGGCTGATCCAGGATATCTAATATCTGTACAATAGAAGTTCCAGAAGGAAAGAATGGAGAAAATTGTATGGAGAAAATCTGAGACAAAATCCAGCTAAATTTGGACAAGAGGTTCCAGATTCAAAGGGTCTCCACAAGACCTGCATGATAGGATGAGAACAGGGCTGGCACTCTGGTGCACCACTGTGAAACTTCATAACCCTGAGCCCAAAAGAAGTTCCCATAAAATTTCAGAGAGAGGACAAAGATTAGGCCATGTGCAAAGAAACAAAATGACATCTGATTTCTCAACAGCAACATGGAAGCGAGAAGATAATGAAGCAAATTGCTTCAAAATTCTGAGGAAAATTATTTCTTCATAGAATTCTATACCCAGCCAAGCTAGCTATCAAATAATAGAGCAGATTAAAAACATTTGCAGGTCCTCCCCGGTAGTGCAGCAGTTGAGTGCTGGATTGCGAAGCTGCCCGCAGCCTCTGCAGCGCCAGTTCGATCCCCAGCCGCCGGGTGAGGGTTCCACATGGCGCACAGACCTCTCCTACCGCCTGCTGCTCCCCTCAGCAGTGTACTTCGTTGGACAGCCTTGTTCTGTTCCCTGCTCTGGTGAAATCTCTCACCCTCCCGCACTTCTGACTGTACCCAGTGCTTGTATAAATAAATAAATAAATCTTTAAGAAAAATAAAAAATAAAGACATTTGCAGAAATGCAAGCTCTCAAAGTCTTTTCCCAACCAGACACATTCTCAATAAAACAATTGCAGGATGTGTTCCACCAAGCGAGTAAAACAATGCAGAGAAAGATGTAACACTTAGGCAACTGGATGAACCTATACAACAGAGGTGAACAGAACCCTACAAGTGATACTCATCAAGATTCCGAGATGAGGGCCTCTCTAGTGGTGCAGGTGGTTGAGCGCTGCACCGTGAAGCTGTCTGCAGCCTCTGCAGTGTGGGTTTGATCCCAGCCAGTCAGGGAGATTCCCACATGGTGCAGCAGACCTATCCTGTCTCACCTGCTGCTCCCCTTAGCAGTGTATTTCGTCAGTCTGCCTGTTCTGTTCCCCACTCTTTCTGGTGAACCCTCTCACCCTCCTGCACACCTGGCCTGTATCCCAGCTCTTGTATAAATAAATAAATCTTAAAAAAATAAAACACAAAACAATATAAAACAAATTTAAAAAAAGAAAAAGATTCCAAGAAGAGAGCTGTGCATGCAATAGGTTTAATGAGTCTGGATTGGCAGGTCACAAACTTCAAGATTTACTCAAGAAGATATTCACAGAAAGTATGTGTTACAATATTCTGAGAAGAGATTTATAGAACTCACAACTGGGAGAGTTTGGGGAGAATAGGGATAAGTACCTAGAAAATTAAGTGAATAAGACAAAAGGCAATTGCAAGAAAAACAAATGGGAAGGAAAAGCAACCAACTTATACCACATGATTATATCAATGAATCATCTGAGCATAGAAGTTACATAGTGTTAATAATTTAACACTGTATACCAACCTAACTGAAGTTGTAATATACCATCAAAGATTTGGATGGGAAAGAAGTGTGTGTGTGTGTGTGTGTGTGTGCGTGTGTGAGTATGTGGGGCATGTTGGTAGGATGGGAAAAGATATAGAGAGCTAAATTCTCATTGTCCATTGTATGAAATAACAAAAAGCATGGCTATTTGGAGAAATGGAGGTAAACATTAAAAGCAGATAAAAGAGTTGAAAGTGGTTTCCTCTGGGGAGCAGCATTTATGAGTTTGTATTCACGTATATATATGTGTCTGTGTTTGTTTGGGGGATGTAAATTGTTCTTTAACTTCTGTTTATCCATCCATCTAACTTACTTACAATAGAAAGTGAATTTATAAATAATAAATATCCCCATATTTCCCAGGAAAATTTATCCAACATATGATCAATTACCATACCCGGAAAAAGCTGCATTCTGAGTACTTCTTCCAAATTACTTCTGATCTGGGTTTATTCTGACAATATTTTGCATACATCTGAAAATCATCTTTCTGTGATAAAAAGCAAATTCAAACATATTACCAATTTGTGAACATGTACTTTTCTTATCAAGAAAAGCTGAGCAAAGTGAGTGTGCCCAAGCATTGCAGGGAACGTGACTTAAGGGGTCTGTTTGCTGCATGGCAGCTGGTTGTGAATCCTCTTTGAATGTCAAGAACAGTATACCCAAGAGACAGCATGGAGAGACACATAACTATCCAAGTGATCTCATAATTTTCACTCATCAACTTGAAGAGTTAGCGGGAAGAAAGCCTTCTCTCTGAACTATAAAAACAAATTAATCTCTTTGTAACTATGAACTAATGGGCTACCTCCAAATATGCTCCTCTATGCTATTAGTCTCCCAGTTCTCTAGTGAATGAAATAGTAACTGACTTCCAAGATCCTTCTTTCATCGCTGGGACATCATCATTGTCCCCACCAGCCATCTGTCCATGGTATTCTCTCTCATCTTTCTTTGGCCTAAGGGGGTACCTGGTCCTTAGTCTTTAACATTTATCTCCTGACTCACCCCTTCTATAGTCATCATTTGCACCTCCAGTCTATGTAAGATGTCCCTCTTGTTGGCTCCCTGTGGCAGCCTCTGTATATCTCTAATAGAGCACAACTCACATTGTACAATGATTTTCGATTGAATAGTCTTGGGTTTGGTATCCACATTGCCTAGTGCAGTACTGGCTTGGCACACAGTAGGTGTTCAGCAGATGGCTACTAAATAGAGAATAAATACATCCATATGCATTTATTAAACCACTACCAGTTACCTTATAAGCAACATAAAGGATCTGGGCCATGGCTCCTCAAAGTAAGGATATTGTGGAGAAAGATAATGACAAACAGTTCTTTTTTGACCAAATTATCTACTTACTCCCTTAAAATTTTCTAGGATAAGATATCTATTTGAGGGCCTCCCTGGTGGCACAGGGGTTAAAGTCTCAACACTATCAAGCTACCGCCAGCCATGGCAGCATGAGTTCGATCCCGGGCCAGGTAGCTGACCCACAAGGCGCAGCAGACCTCTCCTGTCTTGCCCGCTGCTCCCCTCAGCAGTGTATTTCAGTAGATCTGCTTGTTCTGCTCCCCACTTTGCCTCTGGTGAATCTACAACCCCCCCAACCCAGGCCTACACCCCAGTTCTTATATGCATAAATAAATAAATCTTTTTTAAAAAGTTATCTATTTGAAAGCTTTCAAGAACCACCTCTATCAAATTGACTCTCAAATCAAAAGTGAACTGGTCTTTCAGGAAGAGGACAAGCTAGATAAGCACAGAACTTCTGAGACAAAACTCTAAGAGAGGAGAGTAGAATTACAAAACCTGGAAAGTCAACTGGCCTGACCACAACATTTGGACATGAAAAAATGAGTCCCTGATTATCTCATAGAAGAAAAAGGACAGACAGCTCTCTGTTTGCCAGGTTACTACAATAGATGTCTCGGTGTCTGAAAGCCAGGCTCTAAGACTTTCCATGTGGAAGCATGGAATACCAAGACATCTCTTTGGCTGAAAATTAGCCAAGCCAAGAATGGTTATGCTAAGATGACCCCAACTCTCAGATTTTCATAGTCAGGATGCTCCCTGGACTCCTGGGGATCGCCCAGGTGTCAGTGGGCACCAGCTGAGCCACTGAAGCATTTGCTCTCTCAGACACAGTGGCCCTCAGCATTGTTGCATACCCCACTGAACCAGGCTCTGAGCAAACCTTGCCTTAGCATTATATAATTTCTGGAGTGATGTGTCTCCTCCCAAAACATAAAACCATTAAAAAAGAAAACCTACCTTGTCTCTACATGTTTTCTTATAAAAATGAGCTGCTATTTTGGTAGACCATATTTATATATTTTCAAATAACAATTTAACAAACCCTTTGCAGAAAGCAAGGTCCCACTTTTTCTGGAGCCTCAATGCAACTTTCCAGACTGTTCATGAAAATGCTGTGAAAAAATTGGAGAAAAAAATATCATTTTATATGCAATCGAATAAATTGGTGAATAATCCTTTAGAGAATACCATGAAAAAGAAAATCCAATTCAGCATTTGCGTACTTGTTATGGAATTCATAGATCTCTGCCATATTTCCAAAGAGAATATCCTTTTTATTTCTCAGGAGAGGTGGCATAAGATCAAACATCTCTGGATTGTCCATCTCCATTCTGTAGCCCTATCCAAAATAAATATTTTAAAAAACATTTTTAAAAAAGCCAAAACAGGCACATTAACATCTGATTGGGTCATCAAAGGTACAGCAGAATGTACAGTGGTGAAGTCATTGGTAATTTGACATTCAAGTCTTCCACTTCCTAAAGCAGTTATCCATTGCATTACTTTTTTTTTTCATTTTTTAAGAAATAAGAACCACAAAGTTTTATACTCTATGACAGCTCTTTGGCCTTCAGGGTAGCTTACAGTGTAGGCAACAAAAGAGAAACCAAGCTGGGGAAATTATATTATAGGTCATTAACTTCTTCTTAAACTGGCAATGTTTAAGTTTTTCAGACCAAATTATTATGATATTTGTATCAAATGAAGGGTTTCCTTCCATTTTTAGTTTTTTTCATCACAATCTCCAAATAACACTCTGGGAATAATTATCACAATCTGCTGTATTTGCTAAGGGAACAGCTAAGTCTTCAGTAATAAATTCTGAATCCACAACTATGGCTGGGGAGGGAGAACCTGAATATGCACATTTAAGCAACTTGCCTTCTCAAACAATAGGAGAGATATCCCGCTGTGAAGGGACAAAGGAGGAAGGAATAGAGAGAGGGACTTTGCCAAACACTTCCTAATGAATGTGGCAGGGGGTGCTTCAGGGCAAGCTGGGAAAATACAATTTGAGTCACCTACCAACAAAACAGTAAACAGCTCCCGAACATAAACCCTCTCTGTCTGTACCAGCTCATTGAGGACGTGGCTGAAATGAAAATACCGTATTTAAGAGGTTATTGTGGTGGTTAGAATGATATTGCAATATTTCAACTGTTTTCATTATAAATTATCTAAGGTGAAATTGTTCATGCATAGGAACTACCAATAATTTCAGTGCTATCGTCAATAACAAATTAATTCTAGATTCTAGAGTAAATACCACTCACCACTCTTTGAAGTATATTTAAAAGGGGAGGGAGACTCAATAGTTATTTCTAAATTTAAGAACAAAAACTACAATTTTATTTCTAACTCACTAAACTTAAGATCAATTTACTTAAAAAAGTCACAAAATTTATTCCTGAAAATCTGGGGAACTTTATGGACAGCACAGTCTGAGCTATAGTTCCCTCTAAAAAATGTTATCAACATTTTAGTCACAATTTTTCCCTCTGCCAGTAATTTTCTGGATTTATCATATTGGTTTTCCCAATTCTAGATCATAATTAAGTTTCTGTACTAATTTTTTTATTGTCTTTTTAAAATAAAATACATTTCCTTCTAATGATTTCCTATTCATATCATATCATACTTAAAATTCAATTCCTTACTCCCCAGTATAAGTGTTAGGGGGAAAAGGCTGTCCTAAAGCTAATTCCATACAGGCTTTGTGGACTCCACCCCACCCCAGGCCAAAGCCAAAGACACTGGGAACTCCAAATCCCATCACCACCAAAGGGAAGGTGGCTGGGACCTGAGGGTGGGGTGAAGCAGCCAGGTGGGTAGAAAGCCAGACACGTGGGCTTTGGGGGGGTCCCCCATTTTGACTCTCCACCAGCTCGCAGCACCCAGCCAGCTCGGAGAGTGCTTTTTGGGTTTCCAGGTCGGTGGATCAGGTAGGACGCATTAAAGACTTTATTTCCCTATTTTCTCCCTGAGTTGTACATTTTCCTTATTTCCTTTTCCCTTGAAAATAAACCTTTCATTAACCTTTTGTGTGTGCCTGTAGTGGAGTATTCATAAGTCCCTTGTAAGCGTGCGGGTGAGGACCCACAGCCAGGCAACCCGTTCAATATCGGGGCTGCCCTATAACATAAGCAACCCATTCAACTTCTACCTTTGGCCTCTTTATTTTTTTCCATCTTTAAGTAATAACATTTAACAAGTTTTGCCTATCTATGTATATATGCATGTATATAAATTCAATATATTTGAATTTGAGTTAAAATTCAAACTTGCTCCAAAGACTGTTTCCTAACAACTCAGTGATATAAAATGCAAATGGCAAATATTTGTATGTCTAGAACATTAACACACTATTACGAAAGTGGACAAAACAATGAGCATTGTTAGCATCTATAAATAAAATTGCATATCTCATCATGTCTTGCAGTTTTTGAAATACTGTCCCATTCAATCTCCACCTTTTTACAGTAGAAGAGACTAAGATTTTGACAAAGTCCAGCTCATTTTCCTGGCAGTGCATAAACAGAGCACATGTGGCCAGGCCTAAATCCAAGGCTTGTGACACCTCATCTAGTGCACTTATCACACCCAACAGATCCCCGTTCTTTTCTGAGCACATTGGCCTTGAACAATGAATCAGAATACATGAGTGTATATTAATAAATAAAAGATACTTCTTTAAAACATCCAAGTTATTGTCATTGTTCAAACTGGAAGTTTGACCAGAATTTCTCTTCTCTCGACAATCATGCACCACTTCAATCTGAAATTAGGAAAATAAAAGTTAAATTAGCATCTATGTAGGTCTAGTTCTTCAAGGAAATCTAACTCAAGTCAAGTTTTTCTAGGTCCTAGCCATGTAGATAAACTAAAATCATTGTTTTTTCCAGAAACAATTTCCTGCATATACTAGTAAAAAATGATTTGAGATGCCCAAGAGGACAGACTTAGGATACCATCAGAATTTACTTTCTACAGTATGTAAGGTTCCAAGTACTTGGCATTTGGGGGCAAATTTGCAGAAAGTTAACTTTCCTGATAACTAATTTAATTTATTCATTGAAGAACCAAAATGGTTTCTTAATGATGTGGATAGCAACCTTTCTAGGAAATATTGCAACAGGGTGGTCCCCAGGAAAGGGGGAGGTTCCCTGCCCCACCCAAGGGAGGGTGGAGCTGAGCAGGAAGAGGAGAAGCTGCAGAAGAGACTAAGGAAGGAAGCAGGATGGAGCCAGGAGACCTGGAGGAGGCGCATGGAGCCTAGAGACACGTAAAGAAACTGCGCTTGTCTTTTGGTCATGGACTGGGTGACACAGATGTGGGTGAGACCCGTGGGGAGGTGACAATGGCAGCTTTTATCTTGATGTTGATTTTGCTCTTTTCCTTCCGGGCTTGTCCGGTTGTTTGTGACCCTTTGCTGTGGGTCCCCACTGGAAGATGCTTTAGACTTGTAGCAGGCTTTGGGGACTTGTTCTGGGCCGATCCCATATGGATGGACTTTTACCCACGAGGGGATGGGTAACTTTGGGTGCTTCATTTAAAAACTAGACTCTTTGCCTTACCTGTATTGTTTCCTAGTTTTATTAAAGATCCTTCCCATTAGTCTCATGTGTTTTGTGTTGATGCGGCGGATGGCAGAACCCATTTAGAATAGGCAGGTTTGCGGGGTTTGGGCTGCCCCTCTCTCTGTCCTATAACAATACTACAGGAATCTTTGAATTCTTTAACTGGGGACACAACAGTGACCTTTCTCCTAATGACTCTGTGGCATCATGGCAAACATGAATGATGTCAGCATATCTAATGATACATGCCATGGCTAGTAAGACACGCAGAACAACCTATTGCTTCTTGGAATGGCTGTCACCTGTTCATCTGTGTCTGCTGTCTGCCCGATGGCAGTTGTTGCTACAAGAGACCTCCCTGATTCCAAACTGCTGGCTTTTTCTGTTGACTTTACAGGACTCAGGTTGGCCTACCGGACAACTGCATGTGTGTTGGGATGGATATTTTCTCCTCCGAAGCAACGGAAGTATATCCCAGGGGTTCTGGCTGTACTTGGACAGTCCAGCTTGCAAAAACCCAACCTTCCAAATAAAAGTAGCATTACTTTGTGTGAACTAGAAACCAAACTGTAAGACCTAACAACCAGGAAGAAAGGACTTCCACAAAATATGACCTACATATTACAAATCCATGCAGGAAGGAACATTGATTAATTTTGTCTTATATATGGCAGGCATAGTATTAGGTGCTTGCACTTTATCTAATCATCACAGCAATTTTGCAAGCTATGGCATACTTATCCCCATTTTTATGAATGGGAAAACTGAGGCTCAGAGTTTTAGCAATAGGGTCAAGGTCACATATCTAATAGGTGATAAAACATTCAAGGCCAAGTTCTTCCATCATTATAGTGCTCGCTCTTTAAGAGCAGGCTTTCATTTATTATGCCTGCTGAATGTATCAACTGTTACTATCATGTGAAAACTGAAAAATATTGCATCCTCCTGTACTTATCAGATAGATAGAGCCCCTATATTCCTAATAGGTTTCTGAAGCATAAGTTTGGAAAGTTTTGAAAATAAATTTATACTTTCAAATATCTAAGGGCTGTGCAAATTGACTTGCATTGGAAGAATATGTGCAATTTGGAATCGAGTTCACCAGCTAGAAATATCAGCAAGAAAAATGTATGGCAATAAGCTCCTATTTTTCCCTTGATGATATGCAAATAAATAAACCCACAGAGGGATGTTAAGGTATCAGGAGTTGAAACCAGAACTGTAAAACATGTAAAATTATAGCAGTACCATTCCGCCTGCTTCCCTCTTCAAACCAGGGCTTCTAGTTGTACTAAATGGTAACCAGGCAAGGTATGTCACCACTGGCCATTCAGTCTGCAAATAACTAACAAATACTCAGAAAACTACCACATGCTATGCATCAGTCAAAGTACTTCACAAACATTAAATCACTTTATCTTTACACTAACTCCATGGTGATGGTGTTCTATCATTATTCCATTTTATAGATAAGGAAACTGACTTCAGAGAATTTACCCATCATCAGTTCCCCAACATTAATCGTGCTGAGATCAAAGGCCAGACAGGTAATTCAGTAATACAACCTGTCACACCATGCTCTCCTCTCCTTCAGTGAGGATGAGGTTACCTGACAAGGAATTTTCTATCAGGAAACTATTTGATGGCTTTTGAGCCCAAAGTGTGGTCCATTAGAAGCTTTTGTTCATGCTTCATATCTGTGGGACTGGAATCACTTAGGAAAGAAACTGCCTTTTGTAGAAAGGTTCAACACTTATTTAGGTTCATTGAGGTGGGGGCAGGGGAAAGAGAAGCTGGAACTTCTGAGATGTTCTACAGAAATTATTCTGAACATGGGCCAGGACTTTGGAAACTGCTCATACATCTGGGGCTCTGCCAGCACTGCAATTAGATACAGTGTGGCCACAGCTTTTCTTTTAGGTTAAATAGGCTTTCAAACACACAATATTGCTTTAGTGAATTTAAAATATGATTTAAGTCCCCCCCCTACACACACCAATTTAGCAACTACAGCAATAATGTCAATTTTGAATTAATTAATGATATTTACTTTTAGGTTGCTCTGGTTTTGTCGCCAACTCTTCTTGCCTGGTAGAGAAATGTGAAAGAATTTCAAGCCAGAATTAAAATCAATGTGTTTTACAGAAATACATGCATGTTTATTAAGTAGTTAGAGATTAATATTCCACTGTGTTTACATTAGTATTTTTAAATTCCATTATAAAAGCAGTTGATTGGTTAGACTTCCCTGCATGATTTCAGCTTCAGACTGAGCATAATTTTGCTAAGTAACCACACATTCATTCTCTCACTCATCAAACGTTCCCTTGATTGCAGAGGGAGTGCAAAGCTAGGTGTTAGTACTCAACAATTATTTGCAGATTTAGTGTTCATTCTAAGACAGAAGCATTTAATCATATTATAGCAAATTGATTAATTGGATCAAAAAATTTCAAAAAAAAATCTAAATATAACAACGGTAGCATCTAACATTTATTCAGCAATTACTACTTGCAGAGGACTGCTGTAAGCCCTACTCATGCATTTTTGTTTTCAATCCTCAAATCAACCCTACGAGATAGGTATTACTTCTATCCCCATTTTATCCAAAAGTAACTAAGGTCGATATCTTATCCAAGAAGCAGAAGCTGTATTCAAATCCGTAGCGTCTATCCTCAGAACATGTTTGTAACCGCTGTATAAAACCACATTTCTGAAGCACGTTAAAATGCTAAAACAAAACAAAACAAAAACAACTTCATCAAAATTCCAAGCGCTTATCTTTATTTTCTAAAAATGTTCAGTTTACCAAGTGTGAGACCCTAGGTTAGTAACCAAGGAATCCAGATGTCCCTACAAAACCCGGTCACAGTCCTGTCCAGAAGACTAGGTCCTCTGAGATCCCAATTCTCAGGGTTGCTGAAAGCGCCGCATGGGTCTGTTCTGGCCACGAAGGACAGAAAGTAAGTTCTTGCCAAGGACTCGCACTGACCACATCCGGCAAGGCGATGCCCTTACAGTCTCTGGAGCTTAGACTTCACTTTCACTGCATATTTCATCTATAAATTTTATGTTTCTATAATTACACATCAATATAGAAATATAAATTAGATATAGTAATTACCATATTAAATCAATTTCCCAATAAATACAGAAGTCTGCTCCTTTCAAGAAGCCTGATAAAGATCTGAACTTATTTATAAAGGTAACTTTGGACTTACTGCAGAGCTTTACTAGCTAATTATTTGCAAAACCACTAAGAGATGAAAAAGAAATAAATATACAAGATATTGGGGAATGTCTTTTTCTGAAAAGGGACACAGATGCATTCTTTTGACGATGTAAATGTCTGGATACATATTGAGCACCTGTACTAGGCGCCAAGGTGTGTGTGCAGCAGGGAATCCAGGGTGCAACCACATAGTCCCTGTGCCCTTAGCTTACACCCAAGACAGAAAACTGGTCATTGCACTGGAAGCTGAAATGCAAAGATGAGGCCTCTTGCCACACAGCAGGAACACCCAACTGAACGGGCTGTGTGGGAGAGGAGGCAAGAAGGAAAGCTTACCTGAAGGAAGTGGCCTAGAAATGGGAACTCTAATGGAGGAGGAGGAGTTATGTGAGGGAAAGGGAGAAAAAGTGTTCCAGAGAGAGAGGAGGGCGTGTGACATCCAGAAGAAGGCAAAAGGTAAGACCCCCTAGGGGCATCTGAGAAGGAGCTTGGAGAGGCTGGGAGACTGGCGCAGTTGTCAAGGCAACAGATGGTGTTAGCTTGGGTAAAGGAAATGTCCTTGAAGGAGAGGGCAGGACGGAAGAAGTGGGTTTGTTGTTTGTTTGGTTTTTTTTTAAAGCAAAATGAGTTTATTCGGTAATAGAGAAATTGTGACCTGGGACTTACAAGCAATGACGTATATAGGCAAAATCCCAAGAAATGAGTTTTCTTTTGTTTTTAATAGATTAGAGGTGATGGGGCCTGAGTGAAGAGGGGGAGACAAAGTCCCAGGCTTTGGCTGGGGGCACTATTCGCTAAGAGGAAGTGGGGGAGGCTTGCAGGAGAGCTGTGATGAGTGGGAGATAAGACAGCCTGAGCTGCCCACAGGCAACACAAAGAGGCAAAAGGTAAAAGCAGGGCTGAGGCTTAGGAGAAAGGTCTCCACTGGAGATGCAGCAGCTCCAGCCGCTGGGGCTGACGTCCTCCTGGCGACTGGTGTGTGAAGAAGCTGCCTCTGGCCTAGAACTTGGGCCCGTGAGGGTAAAGGGATACATACTGGTCATGGGGTTCACTGTGTATGTGGCTGGTTGCAACCCGACCCTGGTGTCCTGGCACAGAGGCTGCCCCCACACCCGCAGGCCTCACTCACACAGAGCGGCTTTGCTACAGATGACCCCTTTGGGCCACAGTGGGGCTGCGGTGCAAGGCCTGGGGGCCTGACCCAGATCTGCAACCAGCTCACCCAGCTGGGGCAGGGTGAAACTGTGCTCACCTCAGGGAACCCAGCACCCACAGCCCCAGTAGGGCCCAAGCAGACCAGCCCTCCTACTGCCATCCACAAGGAGAGGCCCCAGAGAACAGAGGAAGGGTTGCTGCCAGCCCCCTCCCAGCCTGCAGGGAGGACCTGGCCACAACTGAAGCCTGAGGCAGCTCCTTCCCATTGGCACCTCACAAAGCCTCAGGGGTAGGGCCCTCCAGAAGCGAGCAGTGTGCACTGGGGCCAGGTCTGCTGGTTCCTAAGGCTCCTCTCCCTCCCCACCGCATCTGACCAGCTCAGCCCCCTCCCTGATTTTATTAGTCACGGACCAGGCTGGTCAGGACAAAATGGAACTGAGTAAAACACATGCAGGGTGCTCCTTTTTGAGGCCTCCAGGTCCCTGGGGCACTTACATTCTCAACTGACAAGAGGCCCCAGTGCCTGCTAAAGGTTTTGTACCTTCTCCGGCTACTGCCTTCTGATTGGTGTTTTTCTGAAGAAATCTCAGATGTTTTGAAAGACACATATATGAGGGGAGATAGTCAAGACAGCAACTCGAACCCGCTCTGTAGAACCTGCACAACCTTGCTCACAGCTGTTCCTACAGGGAAGTGGCAGAATCAGCCCACTCCTCCTAGGACACTTTGCATTGCTAGGCTTCTCCTCTGGTATGACTACAGGACACAGTGCTGAGGAAGAGGCTGTTTGGTTCATTGCTTTGAAGACAACTGTAAGAGGGTGTGGCCGTCCTCATCTACCACATGAACGGTGGTCACCCTAGTGGTTCCTGCGTCTCTCCCCTCTGCTACTGGCCACAGGACCATTGCAGCCAAGGAGCTGCTACAGCCTGGGGTGGAACCATGTCCTCCTCTCCCTTTGGCCCTCTGTCCCAGCCTTCAGAGAGGGATGAAGCAGAGCTGCCCTGGAGGTGACTGAGCTCCCTGCCTGGAGAGGGAAGCAAGCCCTATCGACACAGGTGTTATCTAAGGCCACAAAGTCCAGGCTGTGGGTCCAGGACCATCATGCTACCTTAATAAGGATTCTGGAGTAAAAAGGAAAAAAAATTAATTCGACATGTATTTATTAGGTACTTCTAGGTGTCAGACACTGTGATTGGCACAGCATTATATTTGATGCAAATTAATAAAAAGAAAAACAAAAAAAAAACAAAAAACAAAAATAAACCAAACTGAAAAACCAATTTGACTTATTTTACAGAGAATTAATATCTACATTTTGATTTCACCAAATCTTATTTATATATTTGGCATAGTAATTGAAAGTCTTCAACAACTATTTGTTATTGTTATAGTCTCCAATACTCACAATAAGGTAAAATGAACAATGCGGTAAAATGAAGAATGGTTGCAGCATAAAAATTTTGGGGTTTGATTCAGACACCCTAATAGGTAATGGATAAAATAATTTATCCAGCAATGCCATTTATGCAGTCAGCTGTATTCTCCTCATGAATACATCAGGCAATCTTAAGCTGAATCAAATCCCATCTACTCCCAATAAATAGCTTTATTATGGATGACATGGGTATCAAGGATGAAAGAAGCTTGATTGATTTGAATATTGCCAATTATTTTTCTTGTTTTCTTTTTCTGACTGGCCATGTGATGAAAGAGATTGAGCTTAGAAGCATACTTAGAAGCATGACTGCATACCTTTCATGCAGTCATTTTCCAAGTTAAATTTAATACAGAGAATATAATGGATTATAAAAAAAGTGGAGGGAGAGAAAGTAAATTGTAGGCAAAATATAGACGGAATTGCTGCAAGTTTTAGATGCCAAACTGGTTTTTCACATGTACACAAACTCAGAAAGTGAACAGACAAGAAATAATAAAGATGGGTACCTTTTGAAAAAAGTTTACATGCTTGAAAGAAAGAATATCCAACTCCCACTGCAGAAAAAAAGTGTAACGCCATTAAATCAGAAACTTGGGGAGGGGAGGGGAATGAAAATACACAAAACAAAATGTACTTCTGGCAAGTAAGAACTTGAATGGGTCTTAGTCAGTCTCTTCAGAACTCTGTTCCTCAGCTCAAGGTACATCACCTCAGGAGCACGTTCAGAGTTGAATGTCTAGATGACTATAAAGCGAGAGGCCTTAGTCACAGGGAAGTGATAGCTGGTTTATTGAGTACTTATTATACTTCACAATTTCTTTTCAGTTTATCTTCATACCAACCCTTTGAAATCTGTATAGATATTATTGTTTTTTACAGACAAGTAAACTGAGGCTAAAAGTAGTTAGCCAAAATGTCACCCAGTCAGAAAATGAAGCCAGAAATCTAAGACCTGTCTTAAGCTTAGGAATAACAACCTAGGGTATTTTTACTCCCATAGCTATTGGTTTTTATCCCTAAAGGCTATTTTTTATTGCTCCTTTTCAGTCTTTTCCCCAGTATCATGTTAGTCAATAATACTGGCATTGTTCTTTGTTTTCTTGGTAAGGATATTTTTATGTTCAATATTAACTATGTAACTTTTATCACCTTGGCCTAGTTACCTGCTTTCATTGCCTCCTTTTTTTTCTGTAACATTATTTTTGAGGTAACACTGGTTTACAACACTGTATATGTTCCCCTAAATCATCACCTCTTTTTAATGTGGCCCATGTTGGGCCTGAGCTGCATTTTTACACTCATTATGCCTTGCACAAGCTTTCTCTAAACCGCAAAGTAGTTTCCAGACATTCAGGAAATTTCTGGTTCTCCCAAATCAGAGGCCAAAATTAGTACCATGTTCACCCATTCAAGTAACTTAGAGCCCTAAAGGCCAAATTACTCTCATCTGAATGACCCAAGGGGCAGCTCAAAGGAACCCTTAGGGCAACAGAGTTATCTCACTTTCAGACCAGCTCATCACCTCTGTGAGGATAATTATTTTATCCCAGAGAACATCAGACGAAAGTATTTATTACACTGTTAAAACCAGTCTCCAAAGATTAAAATGGACGCTCAGAGTTCACTATTCAATTTATCTGCACCCATTTGGAAAAGACAATCCATTCTATTATCTCAGCCATACATTTACTAGACATGCATACAAGTCAGAGTCTCGTGAGTAGTAAATACATGTATACCAGTTTCATATACTTGTCTCTACCTGCTGAAAATAAGGGCGCATCTGATGTTGATAACATATTAACACTCACTGCCAGGCTGGACCATTCAGTGCTGAGACTATCATCATCCCGGACAATACTCCCACACCACTGTGTTTTACTGCTGTATGGTCATCTTGACCAAGACTCCTGCCCAGTACAATATAATTTAAACATGACCAAAGGTGCATACATCGAATGTCCATTTATCATGATGGAACAATGAACTCAGGATTTATACCAAGAGGAACAAACTCAACAACAGCAGGAAGAGGGGAATCAAAGAGCTCAATGCAAGATAAAAATAATTTACCATGTTTAGCCGACCAAAATGATGCTCTGGGTGTGATCAAATTGTCAGAGGACGGGACCATAAATTTGATGGGCCTCATTCGCTTCTCTGCCAGGTTCCTGAAACCAGCTTGTTGGTTCTCAAATATACTTCGAATATTTTCAAGCTTGACTTGCACGGTCTGCATTTGAACCTGCAGGTCGCATAAGAATCCTGTGAAATCTTCTCTGAAATGGAGTCATTACAAATCTTACCACATTTCTGGAACTCAGATAAGAAATTTAGAATTTCAAATACAACTAGAAGAAAGATAGCAAGATCGCAACCAAAACAACCTGAAGAAGAAATTAGCATGCAGTCCTGAAGTAGGGCACGGCCTAAAGTGAGTTACCCTTCAGTGGCGGGAGGGGTAATGGCTGGAAAGGAGCGCAGAGGCAGCTTCAGTGCGAGTCAGCCACGAACTCAAGCCCTCTATGTGGTTTCATGCTTTAACCTGCAGGACCCTTCATAGTTGCTCATGTTGTTACAGGCTCCTCGGGGCACTGAGGGATAATGCACGCCCTTGCCCTCTTAGATGACTGGCGGCAGCTAGACAAGCTCAGATTTCTGGCTTCCAAAGATTCCTGGGCTTATTGCCATAGCCATGTTTCTGGTTTTCTGGGGCATCCCTAAGAAGTGTGGTGATTTAGATACTGGATTTAGATACTGCTCCAAACTTAGAGTCAATTTGACAGTTTTGCAGCAAAGAGCAGGACAACTGCTCTTATCTATGCTGTGGGGAGAATGCTTGTGCCATCCCCCATAGGGTGGCAGCGAATGGCTCAATGTCGCTCCCCAAGCTTCCTCCAAATGCTGCCTACTCCTTCCCTAAGAAGGTCTTACAGAGGGCACTGGGGGTAGCGCTACAGTGGTCAGCATAGCTGCCTTCCTTCATTCTCAAACTGAGTAGGGGGTCAGATCTGTGTCCCCAGGACATTGGCGGATGCTCACTACAGGATGAAGGAAACCTATGTGGGGCTGAGTGCCCTTGACATGGGCCATCTCTAGACCTTTCTTCAAGGACACACAAGAAAATGAAGTTGAGAGCTCCTGGTATGTGAAGAGTTTAAAAATAATGAGGCCAGACAGCACGGAGTCTCCGTTATGGAGCAAACGTAACTCTTCAAACGCTCTGAGGCTGGCAGTGGCATTGACAGAACCCATGAGCCATAAGGGAACTCTGTCATTGCAGTTTGACTGAAAGTTCTCTGTGAAGTAGGAAAACTCTTCCCAACATACCTGCCATTCTAGTATTTTGGTTTTTTTTTTTAAGATTTATTTATTTATATAAGCACTGGGTACAGTCAGAAGTGCAGGAGGGTGAGAGAATTCACCAGAGCCAGAGCAGGGAACAGAACAGGCAGACCGACGAAGTACACTGCTGAGGAGAGCAGCGGGCGCGGCAGGAGAGGTCTGTCGCGCCATGTGGGACCCTCGCCAGCGGCCGGGGATCGAACTGGTGCTGCAGAGGCTGCGGGCAGCTTTGCAGCCCAGCGCTCTACCACTGTGCCACCAGGGGAGGCCCCCATTCTAGTGTTTTTAATAGTAGTTTATTGCGGGGGAGGATAAGCCTTACCTGGAGTTCAGGGGATAAAATTACATCAAATTCATACTGTAGATTTTCAGGATCATAATTTATAAAGGGCAGAGCCATTTCAAGAAAATGTTCAATGTCCTGGAGAGCTTTCTTAGCATCTTCTTTAGACTGAAACTTGCCCATGTCCTGGTTAGCTAGAAGACATTCTCCTTCATCACAGCACTGACGAGCCTGAAGATTAAATCACACACACATACACACACATACACACACACAACATGAAGGAAGAAATATGTTTCCTTAAGATAATGCTTTTCAGCCCTGACTTCTGTGAAGCAAAGCTGCTTGCATGGGTATGAAAAACTAAAGCTATCTGGGTTCTGCCCCAGAAATTCGGATTCAGTAGCTCAGGGCTGTGAATCAGGCACTTACATTTTTACAGAGCCTCACAGGTATTTCTGATGTACAGCCAAGACTGGGAAGCCCAGCACTTATTTTGTAACAAGGAATTCTTTCTGCAGCAGGAGGTTGACCATCCTCGCAACACCACACCTCAGCTGCACGCTATTTCCCCCAACCAACAAGTGCACCATGAAACTCCTGGCAAAATCTGAAGTGTAATAGAAATGCATCAGGATCATGGAGGGCTAATCTCAGAGGGCAAGGAGTTTCCTGGCCAGAGGAGGGGGATGTACGGATTGAAAGTTCATGGTCAGATGCGATGCCAGAAGCGACAGCCCTGCTTCATATTCCACTGCCAAGGCCGGATCTTCTCATCACTGCCTACTCAATGATAGGAGTCAGACCCAACCGCCAGGGAGGTGTATTCTCTAGTCACTCTTTAATTTCTTACTGCTATAACTAAGAAATGTGGGTGATGTTTTCAGACTTTAGCAAATGGCCCTCAGGACTTTCAAAAGGGTTCTGAGTACAAACTATCAGCAGAGCAGAGGCTTCAGACATGTTCTCAAAATAGAAAGGAAGCCTTTGCAACAACAAGCTGCAGATTCAGAATAGAGGCCAAAATGCTTACACTACTTGACCTTCTGTGAATCCTGCAGATATCAATGGATTAAGTGAGCATAATCAAACCCAGGCCTTCGGACTTTTTACAAACTTAATTCCAAAGCTATATCAGACACTGACGCTAGGGCCTCTGTGAAGGACCCAGGAAAAATTTTATTTTCTTTCTCGGCAATGCAGCATTTCCCCTGACACTACCTGCTGTAGAAGTTTATGCATTTTGAAGGTCCTGCTCAGCTGTATCCGTTTTGCTTTGATCTCTTTAACCAAAATATCGGAAAGATAACGTAGTTCATTGCACCTCTGGCAGATCAAATCAAGTGCATAATGGTGATTGGCCGCAAGTCTGTGTCCATGTAATATCACAAACTGGGCCTTTGCTAATACATCCTAATTTTAAGAAAGAAAGAAAATAATAAGTGCATGATCTCTGTAAAGAAGAGAAAAAATAATTAAGAAGCAAATAGGTTAAACAGGGAGATATATTTCCAAAAATATGATTTGATGTCGTACTTCTGCAGGCTGCAAAAAAGCTCACAGTTACAACAATTAGCGATATCAATGACGTCATCAGAAGCTCCAGAACTGCCAGTAGTAGAAACGGAAAATGAACCAGCCCGCCCAGAATGTGGATGAGATTTGCTTCTCCTGGTAAGTACATATTTAGAACAGAACCACATATATCAGATGCGCCAGCCAAATGAGTGCTAACGGATTTTGTATCATCTCAGTCTTAGAAATCTTGTTAGTGACAGCAAAGGGGAGAGCAGACCCAGTACTGTGGGTGCAGTGTGGTGACGCATATCTCAAGACGTGTGAACTGTACCTCCAGGCCATGTACAGTGTTGTAAACCAATGTTACCTCCATAATTTTTTTTTAAAGTGTGAGGGGAAAAAAAAAAAAAGAAAGAAATATCATTAGTCATCCTCCACCTGACTACTTTACATATTTGAACTGAACTGGGTCGCCAATGATGAATGGAACATCATTATTAAAAACAAAACAAGAACAAACACAGCAAAGTCCACTCGTTTCCACATCAGTTTGCCTTCAGTCTCTACTGTACCACAGAGAGGTGAGAGGTGTGACTTGCCCCATAAAGGTCAACAGGCATAATTCCACAAGTGGTCACCCCGACTGCTGCCTCTCAATTTTTGTTTTTAGATGCTTGTGGTTCGCTCCTCAATCTGTTTTCTGAGAATGCACCTTTAAAAATGCAGAGCTTTACTCTCAAATACAAGCCAGGAGAGCAAAGCTAGACTTTGTTAAGTACTGAAGCCACGAGTGCAAGCTTTCAGACCAGCAGGGTAATGACAGCTGGCTCATTGAGAACTTTGTATATGACTACATATCCCAGGTGCTGTATAAAGTGTTTTCTCTATAACATCTACATGAAGCCTCACAATCACTCCTTCAAGTAGGTCATTTCATCCCCAACTTATAGATGAGGCGTTGGAAATGAAATCCATTTACCCAAGGTCATGAAGCTAGCAAGCAAAACTAAGTAGATATATTTGTCTGAATCTATGCCTGATTCAACGGCACATATCAAATGATGAATATTTAGGGGAATATGCTCTTCTATGTTTCCATCATTTCCGAGACTGAAATAGCATTCTTGATAGACATTTTCTGAGCTTCTTCAAAATGATTTATTCTCTTGTTCTTATTCTTGGGCTTCCACCAGTTCACACCATTATCTCGGAGGCGTCCTGTTACCATACATGACATCTCTGACATATCTGCAATGTCACCTCCAGCCCACGTTGAACAGAACGGAATATAGACCAATGTTATTGAACCAATTATGTGGATTGCTGCTATGAAATGAATTGTTACAAGGGCTTATACTACTGAAAATCATGATGATGTAACTATTACAGGCCATAAATATAGTGAACAGGTGAAAAGTAATCTTACCTGAGAGCTTTCATCTAAGTTATCCAACTTTTTTAGTTTTTGCTTTATTTGAGATATATTGCCTGTTACATCTGCCAACTCTGCTTGTTGGTTTAATAGAAGTTCCACTTCAGTCACGAGCTAAAAATCAGGGGGAAAGTCTTAAAAGCATGCACATCTTTAAGTATTTTACCTGAATAATCAAACTTTGTAGAAAATGCCATTAAAGAATATCAACTTGGGAGAAAAGTACAGATAAGGAGAACATTTTCAGTTATTTTAATTCACAGAAATAGATATTGTCTGTTAAAATTTAACCCTGCAGATATCAATGTGACTTATAAAATATCAACACGTGTATGTGAGGGCATGCATATGTGGATGGGTATGGACACTTATGTGCTATACACACATACATGTATATATGCATGCATATATATTCTCTCTCTAGCTCTGAGGTGAATGGTCATAGAAACAAAGACCCTCTGTTACAATGACTACACCTGGCACCCAGATCTTGCTCTTTTCCATCATTTCCCAGAACAGTAAGCCAGGGGTCCTCAGGAAATAAGTATCTGGTTGCAAGGCTGAGGCAGAATAAGAGAATAAGACCAAGATGAGCTTGGGACAACTCTTTATGCCCCAAATTAAAGAAGTAATAAAAAAAAAACCTTTGGACAGTTGTCACAAGGACATAGAAGCCAGTCTGAAACACCCAAGTAGTTAAGAACAATCATGAATTACAAACCACTGGAAAATTAGGAAGTCATGAGGTTGACGTGAAGATAAATGGGAAAAAGGCAAGACTCGTCCAGTGGCATACCCATAGGGACTGGTTACTATAGGAAGGAGGGACACTTGGGTCAGAGAATCAGCCTTTAACAGCCATCATGGTGAACGCTGGCTGCAACCAAGAATCAACTGTAGATGCTACATCTACAGGGACCTTTTGATGAGGAGTAAGATAATTGCATGATTTTAATTTTTTCTCTCCACATAGTTATTACTAGTTACGTGCCCACAGTGAGGAACAGGTGAGTTTCATTCACCCCGTTGTGATACCCGCAGGACTCAGCACTTATGGAGCATGCCTGGTAGACATACAGCTGAATAGAATCATGAGGAAATGTCAGACAAACTCGAAGTACAAAACAGATAATTTTAAAAAGGACCGTGTTCTTCTAAATTGTCAGTGTCATAAAAGATAAAGGCTAGGGACTGTTCTAGATTAAAATAGACTTAAAGAGAAAGGACAGCTTAATGCGAGACCTGATCCCCTAGACTGGATCTTGTACTGTCAGGGGAGAAGCAGAAACTATCTCCCTTATTGAGTTAACAGGACCTTATTGAGTTAACAGACAAAACTGGAATACCAACAGTAGATAACAGTATTACATTGTTGTTAAGTATACTGAACTTGCTAATGTGATTATTTGAATGTGATTATACAAGAGAGGATTTCTAATAGACAATCCTGAAGTATTTAAGAGAAAAGGGTCATTTTGTACACACATACTTTCAAAGGGTCAGGAAAAATATTTGTTAGAAAAAAATCACATGTATATACACACACAGATATCTCTCTCCACACACACACATTATGTATATGGGAGGGGAAAATGATAAAGCAAAGTGGAAAAATATTATTCATTTATGAATCTGGGGAAACAGTATATGGGTGACTTTTTTCTACTCTTTTGTCAGCAACTTTTCTGTAGATTTAAATTTCCAAATAAGTTTTTGTTTGAAAGTTAAGTCCCTAACCAGACGGAACCTGCCTGCATGCACTGTGAGAGACATGTGACCTCAGGGAGATTACACCCAAGACGAACAATGATACCAAGAGGCAGGAACGATGACTTGGAGAAACAATATAATCACGGGACATGAAAACAGTATGACTCCAAATTAAAATTTAAGTAGAAGCTTAATGATGATGTTCAGGAAAAGTATCATTTCTGCATGTGTTCCATTGGGGGAAGAGACAAAATATCTGGAAGGACCAAGAACAATTTGACTTATTCCTTTTGTAAGAAAGGTTTCCTGGAGAGCATGGCATTTCCAAATCTGAGCCCTGAGTCCAGAATGAAGGCCCCTCTCCAACTAACTCGGCTAGACGGAATGAAATACCAAGCAAGTCAGTCCTGGGTAGAAAACAAGCAGGGTGCACATAAGTGAGCAAAGAAGTGAGTTTCCCTTGGACCCCCTGGTAAAATACTATGTAAGAGACTGAGGAGCTTGGATATGACTGCAAAAGAGAACAAGAGGGCCTCCCCGGTGGCACAGCGGTTGAGCGCTGGGTTGCGAAGCTGCCCGCAGTCTCTGCAGCGCTGGTTCGATCCCCAGTTGCTCCCCGGCCAAAGGAGGAGGGTCCCCCATGGCGCACAGACCTCTCCTGCCGCCCGCTGCTCCCCTCAGCAGTGTACTTTGGTCCTTCTGCCTGCTCTGCTCCCTGCTCTGGCTCTGGTGAATTCTCTCACCCTCCCGCGCTTCTGACTGTACCCAGTGCTTATATAAATAAATAGATAGATAGATAGATAGATAGATAGATAGATAGATAGATAGATAGATAGATAGATAGATAGATAGATAGATAGATAAATTTTTTTTTAAAAAAAAGAGAGAGAGAACAAGAAACTTAAGTTTAACCATACATGATAGAGTTTCCAGAAGGGTCCAACTAGCATATACCTTTAACTTTTTGAATAATGAACAACTATGCATGATTTTATTTATCCAGTAGGCTTTTCATTGAAATGAACTGCTGCTTCCCCAAAAAAGTTAGGGTATATTAAGAACGGTCGGCATAGGTATACGGTATTCAAAGAATCAAGAAGGATGTTGGCTGTTATCTCCTTGGAAAGCCATCCCATAGTATGAAAGCACTTTGTATCTAAAATAAATTTGAATCGCAAACATCAGGGTAGATCACAACTTTATTTCTGCCACAGAGGTTTGCACTAAAGAGCTTTCTTGAAGGACATGAGTGAGCCAAAGAAGTCGTGGCCTTTTCATTGTTTTCTCCATTCTAGGTCACAGGATCATGCGTAGTTGCCTCCATTTTCTCTCTATACAGGTAAAAAGGGACATCTCGAAGGACTGCATTTCTGATACCCAAGGAATATCATTATGCCATTATACCTGGCATAATGAGAAGAGATGCATAAATGAAGGTTTGCACTGACCTCTTGGAAATCCTGCTCGAACTTCCATAGTTGCAGATACTGCTCCATTTTCAGTTGGTGCTTTTCCCAAAATCCATCAAAAGCTATTTCCATATCACGTACTTGAGTCAGCAATCTTAACAAAGAAAAGTCAAAGACCACCTTAAAAGCAACCATTTCTTCTGTAGGTGTATAGATATGTACCTGGCCTGGACATGAGGGCAGAGAGCAAAGGCATAGCCCATGGTGCCAGCAGTGGGTATTGGTGTAGAGTCTCTGCCACAAGCAAGCTCATCTCTATGGAACAACTCGGGAGGGAGCTCCCAAATTCCCAGGGGCCCAGGAATACTTTCACACTTCACAGGCCTTTGTAGCATTAAATAAGTAGCCCTAGACCAAAAAGGGGAACACTCACTTATTAATAGTCTGCCAGTCACCACCTATGTGCTGATGATGGTCAAGTCTTGAACTGACAGCTTCCCCAGTGTTAGGCACTTCCAGATTTGTGAGCAGAATTCTTCCTTCTTTGGTGACAGCTGTGATATCATTCTGCACAAAGGCACAACAGGGCATATCAGCCTGCCAATAGCCTGACCTGAATGTCCCGAAGAACACACAGAACAGAAACAGTAGCTCAACCATGCTCTTTGCCTTTGGAACAAAAAATTCAGGAAGACTCAGAACCAAGAATCCCCAAGCTGTGAGGATCTCCCAGAAGCCTCTACCTGTTGAGATGGAGGCTGCAATCACTACTTTTTAATAAGATCTTCACAGGCAGAACCCCACGCTTCCTTTGTAGTCTCCTCTTACTGGCAAAAAGTTGTCATTTATTCTATTCCCTTCTGCTAATATTTTGAATGTCCTCCAGTGAAGCAGTAAGAGCAGAATAAAGACTACCGCGCTAGAAAGCATACAGTTACAAATTATACTTAATGGCTATTCAGATATAGTTAGAAGCCTTTCCTACCCATACTTGATAATTACTAATCGCTGCCTCCCTAGGTACTATGCTCCTTCACATTTGGGTTAATTAATTCATCATGAAATATATGCCACTGTTCAGAAGGCCTTAAGCTGGAGGGCAGATTCTTCAGGCATCTAAGAGTGCTCTATGACCTCCTTCAGGAGACCTAAGGGCCCTGTGAATTCTTAAGCAAAACTTTGGGGTGTATGTACATTTTTCCTGGGACTAAATTCCATCCCACCAAGCTGAGCGAGAACATAACCATTAACTACTAATATTTACTAACTGTCAACTCTGTCCAACAATGCTGTAGATTTACCACCGCAGGCTTCATTTCATCATCATATCAACCGTATGAGCTACGCTGCATCATCCTCATCACCACCTTCTTCCTCATCAACCTCATGATGCATAAAAGGGAAAAGAACAGGGCCTCCCTGGTGGTGCAAGGGGTTAAGTCTCAGCACTATGAAACTATCCCCAGCCAGGGAGCCAACCCACATGGCAGACCTCGCCTGCCTCATCCGCTGCTCCCCTCAGCAGTATATATATCAGTAGATCTGCCTGTTCTGCTCCCCACTCCATCTCTGGTGAATCCACAACCCCCGCACCGATGATGGCCTACACCCCAGCTCTTGTATGCATAAACAAATAAATCTTTAAAAAGAAAAAAAAAACATAAACAAATCACCCAGTGTCACGGCTTGTGAGGGACACTTTTCTTCCTTAAACAGAGTTTTACTTGTACATTATGATTCCAAATTTGAGTTTCTCTCTTCTCCTTAAAAATGTCTCCTGTGCTGTTGCTCCCAGCATGTCTAGTGTCATACACATGTGTCTGTTAGATCACCCTTAAACTTCTGGGAGGAAAGTGCATCCATAAGCAGTTGATGACCATCTGAACTGTGACTCAGAACCCTTCCCTCCAATACTGCAGACAACTGGGTAGGAGGGCAAAATCAACTCGCCACGTATGGTCCCCAGGAGAAAACAGCGAATTTTGGGACTCTGGAAAAGAAAGCTGTGACTGCTTCTGCCAGGTCTGCCTTGTCAGCAGCACACAGCAGATTGGGGACAAGGAGCCAGGCCCACTGAGCCCTCACCAAGTCTCCTTCTCCATGTCCCTGGGCACCTGTCACAGAGGTTAAAATGGGACACCTGGCTGCCTCTTGATTATTTTTTCTCGTTTCCAAAGGGAGAGCCCTTCCCTCTAACAAAGTGTAAGTGGTTATTCTGGAGCAACAATACACAATTCTATTTACAAACAAACCACTGTTCAAAGAGACACTTAAATCCCACATATCCACAACATTCTCCACTTGAACAGAATTCTTACTTTTAGAAAGTGTGCTTTAGAATATATAACTGTCTTCTGCCTCCCGGCTCTCTAATCCAGGTGAAATGTACACAGTGAATACCTCTCGAGAAAGGAGATGGTGAACTGCATGGTAAGCTTGTTTATCCACTCTATTAGACATACCTTGAGCAGCTGATACCTTTCAGCACGAACTGCAAGAATTTCTTCTATGGAAGGAATATCATTCGGAAGTTCTGTCTCAGCCAGTTCAGTTCCAAAGGACTGTAACATCTGAGCCATTTCCTTCACTGTGAGGGCAAAATTTTCTATTGCCTGCAAAGAGCCAATGATTCTTTTAATTCTATGGAAACTCTGCCAGAGTATCAAAACCGGGATCAGTTATTGTTTCTACTTTTATTGTGGTATGACAGCAAACACAGATACAAACTCTCCTCGCCTAAGGCACTGCTCTTGGCAATCAAATAACTTTGCATCAAAGCCTCTAAGAAACTAGACTATCTTTGATCTAAATGGATATCTTTTGACTATCTTTGATCTAAATTTCTGTACTTATTTCTTGGACACTAACAAAAACTATCTCTTCAAGATGGCATGTATTAAGAAATTTGTTTTATGGATACAGATTTCATTGATGGACACGGATATTGACATGCCTTTGAAAAGCAGTATTTTTCCTATCGTATCAAATTCTGCCACCATGACATCACTTTATTACTTCTGAAGAGAGAGGAGAATGTCAAAGCCACTTTCTACACATTTATTGTCATTTCTGAACAAACATCAGCGTTTCAAACAAAGTGATAGACTCAGGTGACAGTGGAACAACTCGTCACGATTCATATCAAAAACTGTACAAGGTTTTTTTTTTTTTTTTTGTGATCACAAATGCCCTGTCACCCTAAAATGTCAAGTAACATGAGGTTTATTTTGCTTCCAAAATCAATTAATCACAGAAAGAAGGGTAACTTGCAGAGACCATATAAGCCCTCTGGTTACCATGCAGGTCAAGGTATTGGCTCTCTTGTTTATAGTTTTGTAGATTATTTTAGGGGAACACTGCTCATTTTGACAATACACATATGTATGCATAGGACTGCTGAATGGAGAATAAGAATGGGAAAATAGAATCCTGATTTAATTTAATATCATTATTTCCTTCAGAGGGCTCCCATATCTCTGGGATTTGAAATAGAGATCCTCGTGAGAGAGTCACAACTGTGAAATGTAGAGTACTTGGCTCGCCTACTTGTAATTTTCTAGAACAGAAGGAGTCTTTGCTACAAATCTCACTGCCTTGGGGGCACGACTAGGCAATGAGATTAATAATATTATTTGTAACATATGCCATATGCCAGGCACTGTGCAAAATATCTTACATTTTTATTTCCTCTTCCTTTTATCCCTGAGGTAAAATATTATTATCCCCATTTTAAAACTGGGAAAACTGAGGCCTATAACTTGTCCAAGGTCATAAGGCTACAAGTCAGCAGTGCTAGGATTTGAACTCAAACCCTTTATTTTTTCCATATCTACATGGCCACAGGAAGAGATGTGCCCAGTGTGAGCTTTTTATTCCCTAGGCCTCTCCTTCAACTGCCATCCTCAGTGGCTCGTCATCATTTCTAGTATTTCCTAAGGGAGAAAAATCAACATATTGAATTATAGAGGTATTTGAAAAGTAGGAGCCCCAGAAATCTGTTTTTCCCAAAGAGGAAAAGAGTTGAGAACTAGATTTAAAGGCTAACATGAACTATAGTCTCTACAGTAAGGGCAAAAGAAACATACATTTCTGAAGATGATCCATTCACTGTGGCAGTACTGCAAGGTGCCGCCTAACTCAGGGGTTAATTGCTTGTCATCAATGTATGTCAGCAAATCACTAACTGAGCTCAGCATAACCACCTATATAAATAAGCAAGAGAGATACTGTTAAACTGTTAACTGCCCTTGGTGACAATCCTCCATTCAACTGAACAACCATCTTAGCATTCAGTTAACAGAAAGTTACCATCTATACAAGGTCCCCACAATTCTCTCTTCTACACCACCCACCTCCCCACATATGCACTATCTTCTTCTAGTAGTAACAGTTTTCATTTACAAAACATTTTGCCATAAAGCTAAATGCATCTCCATAGAAACCCAACTACCTAATTCTCCTTGATCTAAAATTTTGTACTGCTAACGGTCAACCTTCTGAATGACTGTTATGCTTCTGACAAAGTAAAAGGGTTTCTATGCAGTAAGTTAGAATTTATCAGGAGGGACTGATCTTTGCATAAGTATCAAAATTTATGAGTACTCTCCTCCTAACCCTAAGAACATATCAAAATATCTTTGAAAATAAAAAGGAACATGTTCCTTTGAACTAGCTCAGGATGTAAGTTCCTGGGAGTTCAAATACATAAAACACACACTCACTTTTATTAAAAATAAAGTGTACTGACTTTATATACACACACATACATATACATATATACATATAACATTTATGACACGTACTTTTTAAGAGGATTGACTTTGTTACAAATTGATTAATATATGCCTTTATTTGAACAGTAGAAGCAGAAAAGCATTTTGGGGATTTCAAATCTACATTTTAGAGAAGGTTAAGTTCTGTTTTATTCCTTTAACTGCTTCATGGGCACACAGAATACATCAACAGCATAGTGTCAAGTCTTCGTGAGAATTCAAGGGACAGAACATTTAAATAATATATTCTCACCGGTAACTTCAGCATGAAATCCTCCTGACTAAATCGAAACCCAATGTCTGTGAACGTTCGTTGAAGAAAACTGGTGGGGCGCAGAACCAAAACCAAGTGCAAGCTCCCAGGGAAGGAAGCCTGTGGAGAGAACGAGTAAAAGGGAAAAAATGATCAAAACATGATCCAAAAATACGCAATTTCAAGAAAACCAATTTTAAGTCATAAAAGCCACAAAAAAGAACACTTTAAAAATGGATTCCGATAAAATCTAAAATCATAAAATAGAAAATAAAACTAACGAAGGTCACCAGGGCAGATACTTGTAAAGATCGCCACATGGAATTTTCTCATACTAAAGTCAATCCCATGTTCCTAAGAATTCAATCTTCACCTTTATTTTAAAGTTAGTTGTATCTCCAGCATGGGTGGGTGAGCCAGGGGCGGTAATTTTATGAGGATTACACCTGAGAGGAGAATTAATGATGATGTAAAATGTACATCAAAGTATTTAAAAAAACTGAAAATAGAAAAACCTTATGATCCAAAAATAAATAAATAAATATAGTTATGCAGACTCAAATTGCTCCCACTCCCCGTAGAAACAGCTTGAATTAGGAAGCAGGTGCCTAGGAAGCCCTCAGAGCAGGAAGGAGCTAAAATACTGTGTGCAAGAAAACTGTATTATGGAATCATACTTTCAGCTTTATCCAAGCAACATTCACTGATTACCTTCCACGGGTCCATTTCGTTTATTTAAATAAATGATTATCAAGCACAGTTAGTAGTCAGAGGACATGAATGAATAAAATATAGTCCCCACCCAGCTTGCAAGAAAATGACAGTCAAATAGTGAAGCCCATTAGGAATCATTAACTCTACAGCATGAAAAGTTGTTAAGTGAAACAAAGAAACTTGATTACATACAACAGGTAAGCACAGAGCATCCTAGACTCGGGAAGCTCAAAAAAAGTATTAAAGCATAAAGAGGAGTTAATTGGAACAGAAATTCACTCTGATGCACCAATGTTTTCCTAACTTCTAGAATACTAGTACCAAGTAGGTGGTCTAGAAATAACCACTAAATGAAAAAATGCAAAAAACAAAGAACGAGGGTACTAAGCCAAACTAGTAAGGGATGGAATGGTATGGGCCACTCTAATAATGAGCCACCAAATATCAAATGCTTGCTCTATGCCAGGTATCTTGGCCAACATTAATACAGTTCCTCTTCATAATAATCCTGTGAAGGAGTCAGCCCATCACCCTTATAAATAAAGACACTGAAGCTCAGACAGCTTTAGTGTGACTTGCCCCAGAGCTGGTGAAGCCTTGATTTGGACCCTAGCCTGAGCTCTCAGGCACTATACTATCCACCTCTGTAAGAGGCCACACACAGTCAGCAAAGCCAGAGGAAAATGATGTTGGGGATCAGGCAATGGGAGCTGGTGACAGAAGATGGCCAAAAGGGTCAGATCAGGAAAGACATTGGGTTTTTTCCCTACAAAGGGAGAGTCTAAGAGGGTAGAAGCAACACAGCTACACAGTCAGCTTCACACTCTAGATGACTTTGGCTGTGGGAAAGCACTGCATTAGGACAACAGTGGAGGCAGACAGATGAGCGAGGAGACTGGTAAACTAACCCAAGCCAGGGGTGGTGAGTTGATTTTGTTTTTAAATTTAAATTTGTGGAGGTAACGTTGGTTTATGTTGTTTCTATTTTGAAAACACATGATCCCTCCCTTTCGGTGATGTTCATATAGCCCTCCCACTACCAAAGCACCCATAGTCCCCCACCCTAGTTCATGTACTCCCTCCCTATGTTCTGCTACACCCCCACCCCTACGCAGCACTCCCCTCCCCCACCCCATGCTTCAGTTCTCCAGTCAGCTTTCTTTTTTTTTTTTAAGATTTATTTTATTTATTTATACAAGCACTGGGTACAGTCAGAAGCACGGGAGGGCGAGAGAATTCGCCAGAGCAGGGAGCAGAGCAGGCAGAAGGACCGAAGTACACTGCTGAGGGGAGCAGCGGGTGGCAAGATAGGTCTGTGTGCCATGTGGGGCCCTCACCAGTGGCCGGGGATCAAACCGGCTGCAGAGGCTGCGGGCAGCTTCGCAGCCCAGCGCTCAACCGCTGCGCCACCAGGGGAGGCCATATCCAGTCAGCTTTCAAGGGCCAGTTTCTAAGTTTGGCTTTCTCTGACCCATGGTGTGGTTTCTCTATATTCCACACATAAGTGAAACTAGATGTTGAGTTTTTGAATAGCAGCAACAACAGTGAGGATGAGGGCAGACTTTACTCTTAAATTCTACCTTTGCAAGATATGAGGTTTGAATGCGTCTGATGAGAAAGCAGAGACTAGAAAGATCAATTCCCAGATTTCTGACTTGAATAAGTCAGAAACTTACTCTTGTTGTCATGGGGAACACAAGGGAATCATGTTTTAAAGGTGCTAAGATACTGCTCCCTCAGGAATAAGTTCCTGGATATGGTGGGTCGGAAGGGTCAGCAGAACACCCAACGATGCCCATCAGACAAACGCATTTACAAATAAGGACGGAAAGGACTTCCTGCTAAATGGGAGAACATATTTGCACATCATCCATCCCACAGGGGTTAATATCCAAAATATCCACAGAACTCATAAAACTCAACAATTACAAAATAGCAACCCAATTAAAAAATGAGCAGAGGACCTGAATAGACGCTTCTCCAAAGACATACAAATGGCCAGTAGGCACACGAAAAGATGTTCATCATGCAAATCAAAACAAAATATCACCTCACACCTGTGAGAATGGTTACTACCCAAAAGACAAGAAACAGCAAGTATTTTTTTTAAGCTGTCATATATAATTTTTTTTATTAGATAATAAATTTTATTGTTATTTCCCCATACAATTGCAGCCCCCCCCATTCTGACCCCAATCCCTCCCCTCCCGCCCCTGCCCCCCTAAAAGTGTCTCTGGTTCATAGTTTTTTGTTGATTTTGATTTTCACTTTCTTATAGTTATTCATTTTCCTGGTCCCTTATTTAAGTTTTCTAGATTCCTGCTATGAGTGAGACCATCCGGTATTTTTCTTTTTCTTTCTGGCTTATTTCGCTGAGCATGATCCCTTCCAGCGCCATCCATGTTGCTGCAAATTGCATGAGTTTATCTTTTTTGAATGCTGAGTAATATTCCATGGTGTATATGTACCACATCTTCTTGATCCAGTCATCTATTTTTGGGGCATTTGGGTTGTTTCCAAAGCTTAGCTATTGTAAACAGTGCTGCTATAAACATAGGGGTGCAGGTGTTCTTTGGAATTGATGTTTCTGTGTCCTTTGGGTAAATACCTAGGAGTGGAATTGCTGGATCATATGGAAGCTCTATGAGAAACAGCAAGTATTACAGAGGATGTGGAGAGAAGGGGACACTTGTACACTATTGGTGGACTTGTAAATTGGTGTAGCCATTGTGGAAAGCAGTATGGAGAGTCCTCAAGAAATCAAATACAGAAATTCCCTATGACCAAGTTATCCTACTTCTGGATATTTACCCAAAACATACAAAAATACTAATTTGAAGAGACGTCATGTACCCCCATGTTGATCACAACATTATTTGCAAGAATCAAGAAATGGAAAAGACCTAAAAAGCCCATCAATTGATAAGTGGATAAAGATGTGGCTTACATACTCCATTGGATACTCTTCAGCTACAAAAAAAAAAAAAAAAAAAAAGGATGAAAGCCTGCCATGTGCAAGTGCATGGATGGATTTAGAGGGGATTAGGTTTAGTGAAATGAGCCAGACAGAAAAAAGGCAATCAGACATCATATGATTTCACACATAAGCGGTATATAGCGAAAACAGATGAACTAAATAAAACAAAAACTTTTGGACTACAAGATTAATTTGTGGTTATTCTAAGAGAAAGGTGGAAAGGAGCAGTGAGTGAATCAGGCCCAAGGAAAGAATGGTTGGGTGAAGGATGGAACTGAGCTTTTAGTAATGACCTTCATGCACACATGCTGATTCTCACAGATAAACATCTGAAACTTATATAATGAAACATTACTTCCATAAAAAAAAAAGAAAGCCGTGTAGGCTGGGAATGTAGAGTTGGGAGTCAGCTTCAAAACACTAGATTAAGCATAAAAAAGTTAAATATGTCAAAAATGTTTAAAATACAGTGATCTTTTAAAATAATTTTTGACACCACATTGTATTATAAGTTTCAAGTAAGCATTATTACAAATCAACATTTGTATATAAATACTCCATTACACTCAGTACAGTATTTTTTCAGGCATGTTGAAATATTAGTGGAAAAAATTTTAAAAATTTAAAAAAAGAAATATTAGTAATTGGGCAAAATTATAAAGCAAAAATGAATGAGATATTGTGGGGGACACATGGGAACTCTGTACTTTCTGCTCAATTTGCTGTGAAACTTAACCTGCTCTTAAAAAAAAAAAAAAAAAAAACAACAACAAAGACTATTTTTTACAAAAAGTAACTTTCACTGAGGTATAAGACCTAGTAGACACTGGGGGAAATCACATTCAAAACTGCATTTTTAAAACTCCGTTTGAGATAGTAATAAATCCTAAACAGGTAAAAGGACGATGAAAATCAGAGCGAGGGAAGAACTATCTATGATACAGACAAGCAAAAGCAGAGCGCACAAAATTCAATCAATAAATCAAACATTCATAGTATAAATAGACACAAGTTGAGGGGCTCTCCACCGCTCCCCCAGATGGCCATATCTGTGCTACCCTCTCCCTTCAAGAGAAATTACTTCCCCTCTGCTATGTTCTGAATGTCTGTGCTCCCCAAATTCAAACACTGAAACCTAACTCCCAGGGAGGGGGGCCTTTGAGAGGTGACTAGGTCACAACGGTGGAGCCTAGTGAATGGGATTTGTGCCCTCATAAGCCAGAGGGCTCCCTAACCCCTCCCAATGTGACAACATAGAGAAAAGACGGCCACGGTAGTCCCCCCTCATGCACGACTTCTCCCCTTGTAACTAAACCCACCACCAGTTGCAGCCTGAAAATATTACACAGGGCAATTCCAGAAATACACAATTCAGAGCGCTTCTCTAAGTAGCATGACGAAATCTCACGCCACCACACTGTCTTGCCCA